CTAGGAAGCAAACACGTCTGGAATTGTTGTACGAGGCGCTAGGAAGCAAACACGTCTGGAATTGTTGTACGAGGCGCTAGGAAGCAAACACGTCTGGAATTGTTGTACGAGACGCTAGGAAGCAAACACGTCTGGAATTGTTGTACGAGACGCTAGGAAGCAAACACGTCTGGAATTGTTGTACGAGGCGCTAGGAAGCAAACACGTCTGGAATTGTTGTACGAGACGCTAGGAAGCAAACACGTCTGGAATTGTTGTACGAGACGCTAGGAAGCAAACACGTCTGGAATTGTTGTACGAGACGCTAGGAAGCAAACACGTCTGGAATTGTTGTACGAGACGCTAGGAAGCAAACACGTCTGGAATTGTTGTACGAGACGCTAGGAAGCAAACACGTCTGGAATTGTTGTACGAGGCGCTAGGAAGCAAACACGTCTGGAATTGTTGTACGAGACGCTAGGAAGCAAACACGTCTGGAATTGTTGTACGAGGCGCTAGGAAGCAAACACGTCTGGAATTGTTGTACGAGGCGCTAGGAAGCAAACACGTCTGGAATTGTTGTACGAGACGCTAGGAAGCAAACACGTCTGGAATTGTTGTACGAGGCGCTAGGAAGCAAACACGTCTGGAATTGTTGTACGAGACGCTAGGAAGCAAACACGTCTGGAATTGTTGTACGAGACGCTAGGAAGCAAACACGTCTGGAATTGTTGTACGAGACGCTAGGAAGCAAACACGTCTGGAATTGTTGTACGAGACGCTAGGAAGCAAACACGTCTGGAATTGTTGTACGAGACGCTAGGAAGCAAACACGTCTGGAATTGTTGTACGAGGCGCTAGGAAGCAAACACGTCTGGAATTGTTGTACGAGACGCTAGGAAGCAAACACGTCTGGAATTGTTGTACGAGACGCTAGGAAGCAAACACGTCTGGAATTGTTGTACGAGACGCTAGGAAGCAAACACGTCTGGAATTGTTGTACGAGGCGCTAGGAAGCAAACACGTCTGGAATTGTTGTACGAGGCGCTAGGAAGCAAACACGTCTGGAATTCGGAAAGCACCAGCTGGTAAACACACAAAATCCATTGTATACGTGTTTTTTATGACCCAAATTACAGAGTAGACTAAAGTAAACTATATTTGACCTTGATCGATTAACCTTTGTGGCAATTTTAGCAGGCCAAAAATGAATTTATCTTATTCAAACTAGGACAAAGATATAATAATATTTTGTATATTAGAAGGGATGCATCTATTATGTTTATATTTGTGGGTATAATGGCAAGTTCTTGGTTGTAGGCCAAGAATTAGGCATTGTATCCTTACATCAAATGGCACATAACATATGATAAATGATGAGAGCATTTGATTCTTCTCCAATCATACAGAGCACTCATGCCATGCAAAACTTGTAATTACAATTGTTGTGTCTGAACAATAGAAACAATCACACTCTACACAGTACACGATACACACAGCCAGCTGAACATTTCCCCAAGTTTCTCATCAAGAAACTTCTCACTCTTCTTTCATTTCTCAAGTCCACATTGATATTGAACTTTTTAAGCGTGTGTGAGATCTTTGATAGATTATCTGTATAAGAGAGAGAACAAATTAATTTTTTGCAATACTGAACTTCTCCTGGGTTAGTGTTATAATATGTTCTTTTATCCTGCCTCAAAGCTGCATAACATTTTGCATATTACAACTTCATAGCAATCTAAAGAAAACGGGCAACAAAAATTATTCCAGAGCTAAATCATCTGACGTATCAGGAAAGTTTGAGGGCCACAGGGCTAACAACACTACAAGTCAGGCATGACCGGCCGGATCTCATCGAAACCTTTAAAATACTGAACAATTTGGAGGATGTCGATCCGGACCATTTGTTCAAAAGGTCAGATGTAACGCGAACGACAAGCAACGGGTCCTAGTTCAACAAACCACAATGTAGGACAGAAAACAGATGCTTTTTCACCCATAGGGTTGTAAACCCGTGGAACCGCCTACCCGCCGAAGCCGTAACCGTTAAAACTCTGCTGGGTTTAAATATACAGCTGGAAAAGATCATCAGGGCAAATGGGGAGACGTCTGGCAAGCCGCCGGCCTTCTGTCGTCATCGAGGCCACTAGTATTAGTGGCCCTCAGGTAAATTCAGGTAAACAAAATCTTTGACATTTCGTGATTAATAAATTCTAGCACTCATAATGCTCTCAGAAACAAGGAGGATAATACTGAACCTTTAACTGATTTGATGGTTTGAAAATGTAATGCATTCCTATAAACACTGAATTTGATGGTTCCATCTTTTCTATAAATCATAATAACCCAAAACGGTAGAGCGGCATTGGCAAACTACTACACATCAAACTACCTCAACTACTATTAACAACCAGCTCATATTTATGTACATTCTACCAGCCTCATGACCAGGACAATAGGTGCCACACTCTGCACCAGCCTCAAGACCAAGACAATAGGTGCCACACTCTGCACCAGCCTCAAGACCAGGACAATAGTTGCCACACACTGCACCAGCCTCAAGACCAAGACAATAGGCGCCACACACTGCACCAGCCTCATGACCAGGACAATAGGCGCCACACACTGCACCAGCCTCAAGACCAGGACAATAGTTGCCACACACTGCACCAGCCTCAAGACCAGGACAATAGGCGCCACACACTGCACCAGCCTCAAGACCAGGACAATAGGCGCCACACACTGCACCAGCCTCAAGACCAAGACAATAGGCGCCACACACTGCACCAGCCTCATGACCAGGACAATAGGCGCCACACACTGCACCAGCCTCAAGACCAAGACAATAGGCGCCACACACTGCACCAGCCTCATGACCAAGACAATAGGCGCCACACACTGCACCAGCCTCATGACCAGGACAATAGTTGCCACACACTGCACCAGCCTCAAGACCAGGACAATAGTTGCCACACACTGCACCAGCCTCAAGACCAGGACAATAGTCGCCACACACTGCACCAGCCTCAAGACCAAGACAATAGGTGCCACACACTGCACCAGCCTCAAGACCAGGACAATAGTTGCCACACACTGCACCAGCCTCATGACCAGGACAATAGTTGCCACACTCTGCACCAGCCTCAAGACCAAGACAATAGTTGCCACACTCTGCACCAGCCTCAAGACCAGGACAATAGTTGCCACACACTGCACCAGCCTCATGACCAGGACAATAGTTGCCACACACTGCACCAGCCTCAAGACCAGGACAATAGTCGCCACACACTGCACCAGCCTCTTGACCAGGACAATAGGCGCCACACACTGCACCAGCCTCAAGACCAGGACAATAGGCGCCACACACTGCACCAGCCTCAAGACCAAGACAATAGTTGCCACACTCTGCACCAGCCTCAAGACCAGGACAATAGTTGCCACACACTGCACCAGCCTCAAGACCAAGACAATAGGCGCCACACACTGCACCAGCCTCATGACCAGGACAATAGTTGCCACACACTGCACCAGCCTCATGACCAGGACAATAGGCGCCACACACTGCACCAGCCTCAAGACCAGGACAATAGGCGCCACACACTGCACCAGCCTCATGACCAGGACAATAGTTGCCACACACTGCACCAGCCTCATGACCAGGACAATAGTTGCCACACACTGCACCAGCCTCATGACCAGGACAATAGTTGCCACACACTGCACCAGCCTCATGACCAGGACAATAGGCGCCACACACTGCACCAGCCTCATGACCAGGACAATAGGCGCCACACACTGCACCAGCCTCATGACCAGGACAATAGTCGCCACACACTGCACCAGCCTCAAGACCAAGACAATAGGCGCCACACACTGCACCAGCCTCATGACCAGGACAATAGTCGCCACACACTGCACCAGCCTCAAGACCAAGACAATAGTCGCCACACACTGCACCAGCCTCATGACCAGGACAATAGTTGCCACACACTGCACCAGCCTCAAGACCAGGACAATAGTCGCCACACACTGCACCAGCCTCATGACCAGGACAATAGGCGCCACACACTGCACCAGCCTCATGACCAGGACAATAGTTGCCACACACTGCACCAGCCTCATGACCAGGACAATAGGCGCCACACACTGCACCAGCCTCATGACCAGGACAATAGGCGCCACACACTGCACCAGCCTCAGGACCAGGACAATAGGCGCCACACACTGCACCAGCCTCAAGACCAAGACAATAGGCGCCACACACTGCACCAGCCTCAAGACCAAGACAATAGGCGCCACACACTGCACCAGCCTCATGACCAGGACAATAGTTGCCACACACTGCACCATCCTCAAGACCAGGACAATAGTTGCCACACTCTGCACCAGCCTCAGGACCAGGACAATAGGCGCCACACACTGCACCAGCCTCAAGACCAATACAATAGGCGCCACACACTGCACCAGCCTCAAGACCAAGACAATAGGCGCCACACACTGCACCAGCCTCAAGACCAAGACAATAGGCGCCACACACTGCACCAGCCTCATGACCAGGACAATAGGCGCCACACACTGCACCAGCCTCATGACCAGGACAATAGGCGCCACACACTGCACCAGCCTCATGACCAGGACAATAGGCGCCACACACTGCACCAGCCTCATGACCAGGACAATAGGCGCCACACACTGCACCAGCCTCATGACCAGGACAATAGGCGCCACACACTGCACCAGCCAACATTAGAACATAACAATAAGGGAACTGTAGAAAGACTATTGGCCCATACCTTAGCGTCAGGCCAAATAAAACTGTAAAATGAACTTTGTAGTAAATTCTTTTCCACTTTCTTCTCAAGTACAGAAGAAATAAAAGAGTATATTCGAGTTAAAATTATTGATGTAACCATCTCTGTGGTCTGGGGAATATGCCATATGGAAGTTTAAATCATAATTATATAGCAATAACATGTGGAATATCAACAAAGCATACAAGAGGATACGTCATGTCTGACCTTGGTCTCGGCGTCGCTGGAGTCCCCACTGTGGGTGGTGCGAGCCATTTCCTCCTGCAGCACCTTCATCTTCGGGTGCGTGAGGTCACTTCCCTTCTGAAGCTTCTCGAGGTCACCCAGCACACTACTGTAACATCCTGACAGGGAACACCAATGACCGATCAACTCGTGTTGATCAGGTAAAATAGTAAGTATATTACAACTGATCATCCCGAATTTATAATTTACTGCCAAAAAGCGAAAAAGAGGAATGGAACCTAGGAGGTGGAGTAATGCAGCGGGGGAGAGGAATGAAAATCAGGAGTATATGTGAATGGTGGTGACATGGCGACGATAACAATTTTTTATTTTTTAGGTGACGTGTAAGGTGTGACGTATAAGGTGTGACGTATAAGGTGTGACGTGTAAGGTGTGACGTGTAAGGTGTGACGTGTAAGGTGTGACGTGTAAGGTGTGACGTGTAAGGTGTGACGTGTAAGGTGTGACGTGTAAGGTGTGACGTGTAAGGTGTGACGTGTAAGGTGTGACGTATAAGGTGTGACGTCATCTGCACCAAAACTCCCTCCAGAAGTGTTCGCAAACGACAGACGAGATGGACACTTGGGTCGCTATGGTGGAACCAATGGAACGCAGAATTGAGACAATCAGCCAATGAGAACCAAGCTCTTGGTAGACAAGTCCGACGTCTCGGGTAACTCACATCACATAATCCAGGCGCTGGGAAGCCAGGAGCATCACTCCACTACCAGCAAGCTCCAGGTCCATACTGGCGCCTAATGGACGTCTGGACACCTACTCCGCCTGAGCTCCGCCGCACAATGTGGCGTATTATGACCATTTTTTCTTGATACTGCCATCACGCATTCCTCAATGGCCAAGATTAACGAAACGACATATTGTCTGGAGTCACAAGAATGTTAATAGATTTTCCGTTTTCCGTTTGGATCTTACGGGCGAGAGAGGGCGAGTAGGACAGTGTCCGGTTTAGGCTTGGCCTAGACGTGCGGGAGTCAAGGCGTCTTGGTGGGCTTCAAGCGTGTCCTCGGCGTGTAGTGGGCATCACGCTGCTGCTCCGTCGGAGGTCACAGGACGATAGTGAAGATAGAAGATGATTTGGCTTGTTGTTTTAGATTCAGCTACTCGGAACAAATGTTCCAAGTATCACAGGCTATGGCGAGCCCGTAGTGGATTTCCCTGGCACAGGAGCGGGGCTGTAGACGTTTGGCAGTCTTCCCAGATATCATTCAACACACTACATGAATAAAGGTAAGTGGAGGCATAACGTTGTAGTTAGTGTGGGGGTCATAAACTCCGCAGTGATGGTGTTGGCCGAGGTGGTGGAGGTGGTAAACGTGATGGTAGGTAGGGTTTAAGGTGATGGCACCTGTGGAGGGATGGCAGCTATCGAGGTGATGGCACCTGTGGAGGGATGGCAGCTATCGAGGTGATGGCACCTGTGGAGGGATGGTAGCTATCGAGGTGATGGCACCTGTGGAGGGATGGTAGCTATCGAGGTGATGGCACCTGTGGAGGGATGGTAGCTATCGAGGTGATGGCACCTGTGGAGGGATGGTAGCTATCGAGGTAATGGCACCTGTGGAGGGATGGTAGCTATCGAGGTGATGGCACCTGTGGAGGGATGGTAGCTATCGAGGTGATGGCACCTGTGGAGGGATGGTAGCTATCGAGGTGATGGCACCTGTGGAGGGATGGTAGCTATCGAGGTGATGGCCAAACATGAAGGCGATGACAGCCGTGGTGATGATGACAGCCGTGAAGGTGATGGTGATGTAAGCCGTGAAGGTGATGGTGATGCAAGCCGTGAAGATGGTGATGGAAGCCGTGAAGATGGTGATGGAAGTCGTGAAGGTGATGGAAGCCGTGAAGATGATGGAAGCCGTGAAGATGATGGAAGCCGTGAAGATGATGGAAGCCGTGAAGATGATGGAAGCCGTGAAGATGATGGAAGCCGTGAAGATGATGGAAGCCGTGAAGATGATGGAAGCCGTGAAGATGATGGTGATGCAAGCCGTGAAGGTGATGGTGATGCAAGCCGTGAAGATGATGAAAGCCGTGAAGATGATGGAAGCCGTGAAGATGGTGATGGAAGCCGTGAAGGTGATGGAAACCATAAAAAAGATAGCACCTGTGGAGGTATATTAGCTGTGATGGTGATGGCAGCAGTGAAAATGATGGCAGTTGTAAAGGTAACTATCGAGGAAAGGGTTATCAATCAATAATAACTATATTTATAAATGTTGGTTTTACACATAGTTGGATTAGTTTACCCAAATTTACAGTAAATTATTTACCTAAGAGAAAGTCATAACAATAACATAATATGAAATATCTATAATTATAATCTGTATACTCAAGAATTACACTTCAAAGCTACATTTATAAATGAGAAAATCACTGGAGCAGAGTAGGAATTGAACCAGCATCCTGGTGACTGTCAGACGCGAGCCACACCCTCGAGGCACGACACGGTAAGACGCTATTCAACCCGAGACACTACTGTGTCCTCTAGGCTAAGGTCTCTGGAGACCTCACCTGTTGACACAATCAGTTTTTACGAATATCCCGTTTTGGTACAATTATCCTCACTCTCTACGTCTTATGGAAGAAATCTACCCTAAGATAGCTCTTTGGTTATTTTCTATTATTTAAGGTGACTTATCACATATTGACAAAGATCATTATTCCTATTGTTGCAAGTGGGGAAATTACTTTTATTTTGCCATCAGGCAAAATAAATTATTGGCGAAGTCGAACATTCATCGCCCAAGTCGAGCACATTACTGCCCAAGATGTGTGTATGGGGGTAGGTACCAATGGTGAGTGGTGGGTAGCGGTGGGGGACCCAGGTTAGGGGGGAGGGGAAGGGGTGGTTATGTCATAGTGTGGATGTGTACCAAGAAACCTTGTCAGTCTTGTGCCTCCGCTGTGAGCGGTAACACCATCTTGTGCTTCAACCCATCCACTCTTGCCCATCTTCTCAAGACACCTTCCCCCTCTCGTTGAACGCATCTTTTTCACATATCTTCATCTTCTACCTGTATAAACATCCCACTCACTTCTACACAAGATCTGTACCCGTCTCTGTGCGTATCTTAAATGTAAACATTCCCTACCTCGGCACGCATGCCGTACAACCACATGTTCACCTGTACACATCTTTTTGTACTAGTTTCGTACCTCTTTGTGTACGCATTTTTGTCGAACACGCTCTTTTAGTGGTTGGATAAATCTTCCCGCTAGAGGTAACTGCTGTCGTCTACGTCACTACAACTGTCAAGTAAGTCCTTCACACTTACAAATTATCAGGACAATCAGCTCAGAATAGAAGAACATAAGAACATAATATTTAACTAAAGTGTAAGCATATGTAATAAGCATATGCAAGTGTAACTGGCATATGCGAGGCAGCTCCTGTTTACACACAACCAAACTCATTCATATATATATCGTTCATCTAACCTGTGCTTCAAACAATTTACCAATTGATTCCATAAATCAACCTCAACCTATTTCCAAACCAATATTTACCCAGATATTTTCTGAATCTTAAACTTATCCAATTTGTATGCATAACTTAGCCAATATAATAAATTTGAATTATATAAGACTACCACTCGAGTTTAATATTGATAACGCAACTACAACTGAAGCCGGGTTGAGGTCCACAGATTACATACTATGGGAGTCCAGTGTAGAGAAACACAGACTTGAACAGACTTGAATCTGTAGATAACATTTAGGTAACGATAATTAATAAAGCTACGATAAGGACAATGATATATGATAAGGCCCCCATTCGGGCGAGCATTGAAGTGGGTAAAGCTGAAGAGAAGCCGCTGAAGTAGAGATAGCGCCAGGGCTAAACCCAGCTGCATACCAGGGGATTATAATGCTAAACAACTCCAAGGGGACGAGGCGGGAGGAGGGTCTTGAAGGGTGGCTTGTGGCGGTTCTTCTGGCGGTGGAGATGAAGTCTTGATTCTTGGCCGATGTTCCAAACGGGCGTAACTAGGTCCCTACCCCCAAAAGAGGGGGATGTAGGTTTTCACCTATTGAACAAGAGGTGTTCACGTTTCTAGTTCTTCGTCTTGTATTTTTTCTTCGTTTGTGCAGTACTGCTTGTTGGCATGGCGGTTGTGTCATCCACGGTCGTTGAAGATGCTTGTAGGTTGTGGCTGTCGTTTCTCAGGCGTGGAGGTGTTCCTCCGACTTGGACTTCCTCGTCCGACGAGTCAGAGGGAGCCTCCTAGGTAAGTGGTTTGTGTGTAGTCACTGCTGGAGTCCTGGGTACAGGTATGCTGTGTGCAGAATGCGTGTGGGGTGTGCAGCATGCGTGTGGGGTGTGCAGCATGCGTGTGGGGTGTGCAGCATGCGTGTGGGGTGTGCAGCATGCGTGTGGGCTGCACAGCATGCGTGCGTTTGTGCATTTGCTTGTGGTGTGGAGCGACAGGGTTGAGAAGACTGATTGTCGCTTCCACTGGCGCGTTGGTAGCCAGTGTGGTGGGTGCTGCTGCTTGTGCGTCTGGTGCTATAGGTGGTGTTGAAGTCTGGATAGAGGTTGTTGCCGTAAAGGCAGAGATTAACTCTTCTGTGGCAGTGATGGTGTCTAGACTGTTGGCGACGAACAGCGACTTAAGTATCGTGACGTACCGGTCATTGCTGGGCCCAGAAAGTCTGAGAGCCTGATTAGGCCTTTGATGATTTCCTCTCGGGAAGGAATCTCCAGAGAGGGGCAGGGGCTGACTCCAGAGAGTTCTTGGGGCATTAGCTGACTGACCAGTACTGCCCTAGTGGGAGGAATGGAGGATGGAGTGTCTGGTGGGTGGAGCCTCCTCCAGGTAAGACCGGGAAGGCCTCCGGGTGGCTGGTAGGTATTACAACGTTTGTGGTGATGCTGGTGGCGCCGACTGCGGCTGGTTCAGCTCTCTTCGACTCGGCCAGTTGTTTGATTACCTATTGTCTTCGCGGGCAGTGATGACATATAGCACGGGCTATCATGAGTCTGTAAGTGGAGGCTCTTTGGAGCCACTATCTTTTTCAATAGCTGATACTAGAGATCTGGGGATGGATGGGGGTCTTCATGGTGGGTTTCAGCCCCGGAGGGCTGGCTCTACCAGTTAAGGAACTGGTGGGGTTAGTGAAGACCTCTAGGTCTTCCGATTTTTCTTTGCCCGAGACCTTGGCTGAGCTGTGCTGTCGTTGGAGTTTGGTGACGTGGCTTTCATGAGGAGGTCGTGTACCGAGTAGGTGTCGTATTTGTGGTGCGGCGGTGGAGCGCCTACTAAGATTTTCTTGTCCGAGGAGTTCGTAACATTCGTATAAAGCTACATAAGGCTAGTAATTTTATACGGGAAAGGCGTAGGGGTCAGATGAAAGCGAGAGACGGGTTATGTATGACCCGTTATCATAAATATCAACAAATAGCACACTTGTGTTGGCGTTAAGTGTTTCAAAGTTGGGTGTATTGCTGCTCTGATGAAACAGCCAACACAATACAATCTGTTGCACCTCTTTATCTTTTCAACGGCTCACAAAACGTAAGAAATTGTCTCGATAAAAAATCATGATTGATTTGATTACACGAATGTTTTAAAACATCATGTCGGAAGTAAAAAAAAAAAAGCGTGTTCTCATATCTTTTCTTAATGGAAGAAGTTGGACACAATACGCAGAGGATAGCAATCAGGCCACCTTACCACACTTAAACAATAAGAAAGATTAGGGACTATCTATGATGACATCACTATTCTGTACAGATCAGTAAGAGTACGGTGCCATCACCGGCTCTCACCATGTAAGACAATGTTACGTGCTCCTGGCCGGTGACTGTCACCGTTACCTTCAGGTATCACAACACATAAGGACCAGGGAGTTATCATAAGTGGGGTGAAGCAGTTGAAACACGTTGGAGTGGTTATATTAGATGTGAATGAGAAGAAAGATCTTGAAGAGGTCGTTAATAATACTTTCACGAGTACAAAATCTGTATTAACTCTGAAGATATGAATTTTGTATCAAACTTAATTACAGAACATCAAAAATCATATAGGATGAACATGATTATGAGAATGCATCTTAAAGATGCATTCTAATATGGCTGTAGTACTTCATTACCATGCACGCACGCGCACAATCGATATAAATAAAAATTGAAATGTTCGTTTGTTCAAAATCGTTAATCTCCAAAAGTTCTTCATCGATTGCTTTGAAATTTTCACACAACGTTCCATTCACATTCGAGCAGGTTTTTATATACATACTATATAGATATCACGTCTGTGACGGTAAAAAAAAAACACGTTTTTTCTGAAAAACTGTTTTTTTCACGAGTTTTTCCATGTGAGGGAAATCTTCGAAACTTCTTTACCGATTGCTTTGAAATTTTGAAACAACGTTGCATTCGAATAGGCGCATCTTCTTATATATCTATTATATGCATGCCTCACCTGTGACATGAAAAACATGCTTTTTCTGAAAAACAGCGCCATCTGTTGGACGTAAGAGCAACACATGCTGAAATCTCCAAAAGTTCTTCACCGATTGCTTTAAAATTTTGACAGCGTTACATTCGAATAGGTGCGCCTTTTTATATACCTGCTATATAGATGCCACCCCTGTGACAGGTAAAAACATGCGTTTGAAAAACGGCGCCATCTGTGGCTCATAATAGCAACATGCACGCTATAATAAATATGTCACAAATTCCATTTCAATGTTTCTGATTGCATTGATAAATTTTATTTTCATAGATTTCGATTTATTTTATTTTTTATTTAATTATTTTGTGTGACTGTGTTGGAATTGAGCTGTGTTGTTTACTCTACCATTCATTTCGTAAATATAAGTATAGATGCCACACCTGTGACAGGTAAAACTATGCTTTTCTTGAAAAACAGCGCCATCTGTTGCATGTAAGAGCAACACACATGCTATACTAAATATGCTACAATTCCATTTCAATGTTTCTGATTGCATTGATAAATTGAATTTTCATAGATTTTGATTGTTGTTGTTATTGTTAAAGATTCGCTACCTGGAACAAAAAGTTCCAAGTAGCACGGGCTATGGTGAGCCCGTGAGATTTTGATTTATTTTCATTTTGATTTAATTATTTTGTGTGAATTGCATTGGATTTTTTTTTAATTAACTGTTTTTCTTATATTTCCGTGATGGGAACATCAGACCATTTGGGAAGGTATTGGACGAGGGGACGAAAGTGAGAAATGGTGGGGAGGACGAGGGGGTAATGGGGAGGGACGAGGGGACGGGGGAGTTTGGGATGGTGGGGACGAGCGGTTAGGGGAATGGGGAATGGTGGGGAGGACAAAGGGACAGGGAGTGGGGCATGGTGGGAAGGAAGAGGGGACGGTGGAGTGGGGAATGGTTGGGAGGCCGAGGAGATAGGTGAGGGGGGAATGGTGGGGAGGACTGGGGGACAGGGAAGGTTGCTGTGGCTCAGCAACGTACATACGTTGCTGACCCACAGCAACGTGTGGCCTGGTATTGCTAGTACATAATAAAGAAGTACATAAAACGTAATGTCTGCAGATGGCGGAGACGAGTTTGAACACTGTTGGTCCCGATCTGCTGTCATTGATGCTGGAAAAGGAAGTGGAGGAGCCTGGGGGATGGAACTTGACCCAGGTGGCCAATGCGACCCTCGCCGTGCGGGAGCCCTGGAAAGACACACTTGACTTTGTCACCACCATCATTCTCACGACTAACACCGTCACTCTCATGCTCGGCATGGGGTCTGCTATTTACTGGGTTGAGGTAAGCTCATCAGCCTTTACCATGGACCTGCACGTTCTATTTATTCTTCTTGAGGATATTTGGAATGTGCTTGAACGTTTTCGCCTCCAAATGACTGCATGAGGTTAACATGCTGTTGCAAAGTTTACATCAATATCTATAAATAAGAATGTCTGTATGTTCAAGGCTGGAGGCCAAACGTTTGTTGCTAGCCTCGCCCAACTTTATGCCAAAATTGCTGTTGGGTACGTGCCCATTATTTGCATTGTGGACGACACTTATCAAATAGTACATAATGGTAAGGGTTAATACTAGTAGTGGGTTGACGCCTTAGCAGGAACTTTTTGTTTTTGGTAAAGTTTCTGCTAAGTTGCCACCCTTAAAAGGATCTCGGGGTCTGACCTGAAAAGTTCCCACTAAGATGCCACCCGTTTAAGACTGAATTTTGTCAGTTTTAGTTCCCGCTAAGTTGCCACCCGTTTTGGGGAAAATATTTCAGAGTCCCGCTCCGAGATATGTTGTCATGGTTTTAGGAAAACCATTTCAGAGTTCCCATGTTCATAAAATACACTCAAAGAAGCTAAGGAATTCTTGTAGGAGAAATTCAGAGCAAAAGTTACAGCTTCGGTCTTAGAGTTCTTATGGAGAAAATTCAGTTCCAAAAGTAGTCGCTGCGGTCTTAAAAAGTTCTTATGGAGAAAAATATGCTCTATGAACTTAAGCAGATATTTTAAAAAGATCTTCCCATGTTGGTTCTTGGACCCGGCTCTATATAAGTAGTTTTACTACTAGTAGCCCAATTGTAACCCAATTTAAAAAAGTCATATTTCGGACATAGTAAGAAAAGAAAATAGAGTTACCGAGTTCAAGCTCCTGTTCCCGCCTTAGTTAGATCAATTTCCCTTAGATTTAAAACTGCTGCATTTCGTACTTAGTTAAATAGATCAAAACAGATAACAAGCAGCAACTGTTGTCCTCTGCCCTAGTTCAATGTTCATCAAGCAGAGTATTCCAGGTCATCAACAACAACAAGTGAGCAGTTCTCAACCTTTACCTTTTCAAAGTAAACAAGTGTCTAGCTATACCGTCATCACACCTGTGTAAATAAACACCCTCCGGTAATTATCACATGGTCATGCACCCCTTATCTCCCCCCTCACCCCAAACTCCCCGCCCCCCATATCTTCCCCCCCACACCTGACTTCTTCCCTCCCTCTCCAACCCGTTCTCGCAAATTCGTAAAGTCAATATTGACTTATTAACTACGTGCATAGGTGATATACTAAACATAATAGATACCCCTAAAAAGATTCATAGAAAACACCGACCTAACAAGGTTAGGTAAGGTCGGTGTTTTCTATGAATCTTTTTAAGGGTATCTATTATGTTAAGTATGTCACCTATGCACATATTTAATAAGTCAATATTGACTTATTAAATTTGCGAGAACGGGTTGCCCTCTCTCCTAGTCTCCATTCCCCGTGCCTCGCCCACTCTTACTTTCCTCCTTCATCTCCCCCACTCCCTGCAACCTTATCTCCCCCCCCCCCCTCCTCACCCCCTACTTCCCCACATCTCACATCGCACCCCTTCCCCAACTCCACCCAAACCTCCCCTCTCCCCAGAATTTTAAAACAGTTATTACCAACAATCTTACCGTATTTGTGTGTTCACAAATACTTTATGTTCACAGCATGTTCTCTGAACAACTTGTTATACATTGTTCATGTTCTCAGCATGTTCTCTGCAATTCACATTTTCGCCTATTTCTCCGTGTTCTTCGCATTCTCTTTCATATTCTCTACAAATTCCCCACGTGTTCACTGCATTTATCGCATTCTTACACATTCTCTCGTTCTTTAAAATCAAATGTACGATCGTTTCTGTCACTCAGTAATTAATTCATTGTTATGTATTATCAACCGCATTACTGACTGTCAACAAGTTCCCACAAAATATTTATTTAGTTATTTACAAATTCATTTAGCCATTTAAAAGTTATTTATTACAAATTATTTAGTTCCTATTTATTTAGTTTTCATATTATTTAGTTATAAATTATTTAGGGGGGCAGCAAGCTGGGGGTAGGTGAGGGAGGGGTAGGTGAGGGAGGGGTAGGTGAGGGAGGGGTAGGTGAGGGAGGGGTACGTGAGGGGGGGGGTAGGTGAGGGAGAGGTAGGTGAGGGAGAGGTAGGTGAGGGAGGGGTAGGTGAGGGAGAGGTAGGTGAGGGAGAGGTAGGTGAGGGAAGGGTAGGTGAGGGAGAGGTAGGTGAGGGAGGGGTAGGTGAGGGAGGGGAAGGTGGGGAAGCAGATGGGATCGGGACAAATGGAGGGAGGGAGTGAGGGGGGAGATAAGGGATGCATGACCATGTGATAATTACCGGAGGGTGTTTATTTACAGGTGTGATGAGGGGTATGGCTAAACTCTTGTTTACTAAGGTGAAGGTTGAGAACTCCTCACTTGTTGTTGTTGATGATCTGGAATATTATGTTTGATTAACATTGATCTAGGGTGGAGGACAGGAGTTGGTGCTTGGTAACTGCTTTGATCTATTTTACTAAGTACGAAATTCAGCGGTTTTAAATCTCTGAAAGTGATCCGTTATTAATGATGGGAGCTGAAACTCGGTAACTGCATTGATTTTGTTTATTGCTTCAGAAATACAGCAAGTTTAAATCTCAGGGAAATTGATCGGTTAATATCAGAGTTGTAAGAGTATACTAAGGCGGGGACAAGAGCCGGAGCTCGGTAACTAATTTTTTTTTTTTTACTACGTCAGAAATAAACGTTTTAAATTTTAGAGAAATTGGGAAGATACTAATGGAGTTGGACGAATGAACTAAAGCGGCAACAGGAGCTAGAACTCGGTAACTATTTTCTTTTCTTACTACGTCTGGAATATAACTTATAAGCAAAACTACACTGATAAATGTATATAGCTGGGTCCAAGAACTAACTAATGGTAACTTGAACAAATCCACAAGGGCCGTGACGAGGATTCGAATCTACGTCCGCAAACATCCCGGAGTGTAATGAAGTAAGGGCAAAGAGGGAGAACGGCCTATTGACATAGCTCGAGTGCATGGGGGGGGGGGAGTTGTGTAAAATCCTGGTTTGTGCCTCGGAGAGGCTGCAGGATCCAGTAAGTTCAGTAAAACTTACGTTTCAACTCTTTTACCATGTCATAGCTCAGTCGATTAAGGCAGCGTCTGGGATGCTCCCAGACGTAGGTTCGAATCCTCGCCACGGCCCTTGTGAATTTGTTCATTTGATGCATCACGCTATTGTGACTTCTGTGTGTAATGGTAACTTTTTCAAAACAAATTCAAGTCCGTAGATTTTATTTTTCTCCACAAGAACTCTTTAAGACCGCAGCGACGACTTTTGGAACTGAGTTTTCCCCACAAGAACTCTAAGACCGATGCTGTAACTTTTGCTCTGAATTACTCCTATAAGAATTCCTTAACTAATATGAATGTATTTTATGAACATGGGAACTCTGAAATATTTTTTCCTAAAATCATGACATCTCGGAGCGGGACTCTGAAATATTTTCCCCAAAACGGGTGGCATCTTAGTGGGAACTTTTCAGGTCAGACCCCGAGACCCTTTTAAGGGTGGCAACTTAGCGGAAACTAAAACTCTGTCTGCTGGGTTAAAAGGTTTCTATAATCCCCGGATTATAGAAACAGTTGGGTTTCTATAATTGGTAGTCAATTTAAAATATATATTTAGATTAATACCCCCAAAATTGGGCATAGAGATATTAAATAACTGATTTGACTACTACTTTTATGTGTAGTACAAGTCTTTTCTTAATGTATTATAGATCATGTGTGATAGTGCCCATCGTGGCTTCTGAAGGTGAACACACACTGAATGTGTGTGTTTACACGCAGCAGACCTCCAAACACGCATAAGACTTACAGACAGTCTGAGATAGTAAATCAATCACTTTGTTCTTGTGACAGAATACCAGGTCTTGGTTCTCACAGATATGGTCCCACGTGCGTCGACCAGTGGGAGCAGCGATCGGGATGTTGGGTCAGTTCGTGGTGCTGCCGTTAACGGGGTTCGTACTCTCCTTACTCTTCAAGTTGAGACCTTACGAAGCCCTGGGCGTCCTCATGATCTCCTGCAGCCCCGGAGGATCATTCTCTAACTTCTTCACCTTCTGGGCTGACGGAGACTTGGCACTCAGGTAAACAATGTTACGCGATGTGTACTTAGAATCGAGAGATTTTTTTTTAAACTATATATAATGTTTCTGTGTTGAAAGTACCGTAGTATTTTTAGTGATCTTTCCTTGATCATTACCAAGGAGGTTGTGGTCTCATTAAGCCTTACCAAAGAGTTCGCGGTCTCATTAACCATTACCAAGGAGCTTGTGGACACGTACTGATCAAGAACATTATAACACTACTGACTTTCCTCTGAACGTTTAGTTTCAATGACTTGTTCTTCACGAGAATAGGCAGGGTGTGAACAATGAGAGTAAGAGGCAGGGTGTGAACAGTGAGAGTAAGAGGCAGGGTGTGAACAGTGAGCGTAAGAGGCAGGGTGTGAACAATGAGAGTAAGAGGCAGGGTGTGAACAATGAGAGCAAGAGGCAGGGTGTGAACAATGAGAGCAAGAGGCAGGGTGTGAACAATGAGAGCAAGAGGCAGGGTGTGAACAATGAGAGTAAGAGGCAGGGTGTGAACAATGAGAGTAAGAGGCAGGGTGTGAACAATGAGAGCAAGAGGCAGGGTGTGAACAATGAGAGTAAGAGGCAGGGTGTGAACAATGAGAGTAAGAGGCAGGGTGTGAACAATGAGAGTAAGAGGCAGGGTGTGAACAGTGAGAGTAAGAGGCAGGGTGTGAACAGTGAGAGTAAGAGGCAGGGTGTGAACAATGAGAGTAAGAGGCAGGGTGTGAACAGTGAGAGTAAGAGGCAGGGTGTGAACAATGAGAGTAAGAGGCAGGGTGTGAACAGTGAGAGTAAGAGGCAAGGTGTGAACAGTGAGACGAGGCAGAGAGTGAACAATAACTTCACGCACTTCTTCTTGAAGCGCCACATTTCGCATCATTTTATGAACATACAGATGAATATTTAAGTTTCAATTTAATGCAAAGCTTTCTGAAAATGTCACTTATAAATGAGTAGCAAAACCCATAGGGAAAACCATAATCCCTATCACTGTAATCAACAATGTACACACTGACCCCGTCTATTTCCCCAGCATCATGATGACGGCTTGCTCCTCCATCATGGCCTTCGGCGGGATGCCCTTCAACCTCTGGCTGTATTCTCACCCGTGGCTGGATGGTGGCAACGAGGACATCTACGTCCCCTTCGGTAGCATCATGATCTCCCTGGCCTTCATCACGGGCCCCGTCATCGTCGGCATGATCATCAGGCACTACCATGTGAAGACCGCCAACATCATCACTAAGGTCACCTTCAGGTTACCCCCAACCCACCTCTATCTGGGCCCCCCAACCCACCTCTATCTGGGCCCCCCAACCCACCTCTATCTGGGCCTCCAACCCACCTCTATCTGGGCCCCCCAACCCACCTCTATCTGGGCCCCCCAACCCACCTCTATCTGGGCCCCCAACCCACCTCTATCTGGGCCCCCCAACCCACCTCTATCTGGGCCCCCCAACCCACCTCTATCTGGGCCCCCCAACCCACCTCTATCTGGGGACCCAACCCACCTCTATCTGGGCCCAAAACCCACCTCTATCTGGGCCCAAAACCCACCTCTATCTGGGCCCTCCAACCCACCTTTTACTTGGCCCTTGTTATAGAAGTGTTAGCATAAAGCAACATTAATAACTCCATCCGGCCCAGACCCCAATTCAGTATATAATGAATACTAAATATATGACTACCTGCTGCCTAGATAAACGAGGATAGGATATTATTACTACCAACAACAATATAACAGTTTTATCAACAAAAAGAGAATACAAGACACTGGAGACTTTGGATTGTGCCTGACTGGCACAAACAATGCCAGTCACAATCCTATCTTCCATCCTCTCCTGGTTAGTACTATTCTTTAAAAGGATTTTGCCAATGGTGTTTAATCCCAGAGGAGGTTAGAAGAGGATGCTGTCTGCAGAATTGATTATATGAACTCCATTCAAGACAACCTTCAGTAGATTTATTATACTTCAGTTTGAGAAGACACTCACACTTAAGAGGGTTTGATTGGTTCCTTGCTCCTTAGTTTTCTTCATGTCCTCCGGAATGTGTAAAGCCAGCTAGGTTGACTTGTCCAAAAACTTACTGGACATACTTTCGGTGACTTCTTTAATGACTATGCAGAAATATAGTTGGGCAAAGGGATTGTCTTGTTGGACACCTTCATAGGATCCGAATTCATGTTCAAAAAGTAACTTTGAATCGCCACTGTAGCGTAACAGTACGAGTGGATAAACAAGGCAGAAATGATGGTAAACAGGAAGAAGAACTGGATCTCTTCTCGTCATGCCAATGGCATTTTTATATTTAATTTTGATCAATGCTTTTTGGTCAGAGACGCTGGGAATATATGCTCGTGGTGCATGGGCAGCTGCTTCACTACCTCGGGGGGATCCCAAAACAAAGCAATTTGGTTTTAGCAAGTTAGCCGCTTGCCAGTTGACTACTGTTGTGACAACCTTAACCTAAAGCTAAGGTTGTTACTCCAGACCGACAACCGGTCTCCCTAGTCTCCTGAGACTGATGGATGACTACTAGTACACACACCCACCCACCTAGTCGTCGTCTTGTCCCAAGCAGGCCCAGGCGAGACCTAAGCCCTCCATCCCCCACACCCTTGTCAACTACACCACAGGAGGGAGTGCCCTCATCCTTAGCAATCCCTGCCCCCCAACCCCGTGCACTCCCTGCCCCTCCAGCCCCAGGAATTCTTCCTGACCCAAGCAGGCCTGGGCAAGACCTAAGCCCTCCATCCCTCACCCCATCTCCCCCTGAACCCCTGGCAACTACCTCTCAAGAGGATGATCCTACCCAAGTAGCAATGCCCATTCAGCAACTTCCTACACTTGTGGGGAAAGAGTGAAAATGGATATAGGAAAGTGAGCTTCAAGGTAATGTACTCAAACATCGATGAGATTACCAATAAAGCAAGTGAACTGGCAGAAAGGGCACAAGAAGAGAACCCAGATGTAATAGGACTCACGGAAACAAAATTGTCAGGAGTTATAACAGATGTTGTGTTTAAAAAGGACTACCATATAGTGAGGAAAGAGAGGGAAGGGAGAGGAGGTGGAGGAGTGGCCCTGCTGATAAGGACTGGAGTTTTGGCGAGATGGAAATTCCAGGCTGTGACGGGCTCAGAGATTACATAACAGGAGCTATGACAATGGATGGACCTAAGATAATAGTTGTGGTCATTTACAACCCTCCACTAAACGACAGAAGACCCAGACAGGAGTTTGATAGGAACAACATGGTAACCAATAATATAATAGAGCTGCTTCAGTTGCCTGCAGGAGTGGCTCCAGACTCTTAAGTTCTATCTTTATCTTAAGTTCTTATCAAGAGTCTATCTTAATCATGAGTGATTTCAACCATGGAAAGATAGACTGGGAGAATGAGGACCCACATGGAGGTGAAGATACATGGAGAGCTAAACTCTTGTAAGTAGCAACAAGGCACTTTCTGAGCCAGTACGTCAGAGAACCCACGAGAATGAGAGGCAATGACAAACCAGCTAGACTCGACCTGATATTCACATTGAATGAATCAGAAATAAGGTAAGTCAAATTTGAAGCCCCACTAGGAATGAGTGACCACAGTGTATTGATATTTGAGTATCTGGTCGAGGTAGGGATAACATATCCAAGGTTGGTATCGGAAGGGAAAAAACTAAATTACCGAAGAGGAAAATATGATAAGATGAGGAACTTCCTAAGGGGAATACCATGGGAAACAGAACTCAGAAAGAAGACTGTGCAGGATATGATGGATTATGTCACCCAGAAGTGCTAAGAAGCTGCAGATAAGTCCAAAAGGAGAAAAACGAAAAACTGAAGAATCCATGGTTCATCCAGGAATGTAAGGTAGCGAAGCAATTGAGTAAAAGATCATGGAAAAACTACAGGAATAACAGAACACCAGAGAGCAGGGAGAGATACCAGAGGGCCAGAAATGAGTACCTCAGAGTGAGGAGAGAAGCAGAGAGACAGTATGAAAATGACATTGCGAGTAAAGCTAAGATCCAACCAAAGCTGCTCCACAGCCACATCAGGAGGAAAACAGCAGTGAAGGAACAAGTGATGAAACTGAGAAAAGAACAGACACAGAGAATGACATGGAGGTGTGTGAAGAACTCAACAGGAGATTCCAGGAGGTCTTCACAGAAGAACAAGGAGAAGCCCCTGCACTAAATGAGGCAAACCAAGCAACCTTGGAGGAATTTGACCTCACCAATGATGAGGTGAAAAGGAATCTGTTGGAGTTGAATGTGACAAAGGCTGTTGGGCCTGACAGAATCTCACTGTGGATACTAAAAGAACGTGCAGAGGCACTAAGTGTACCACTCTCTATGGTGTATAACAGGTCACTGGAAACAGAAGACCTACCAGAAAGCTGTAAGACAGCTAATGTAGTCCCAATATACAAAAAGGGTGACAGCCAAGAGGCACTGAACTATAGGCCAGTTTCCCTAACTAGTATACCATGCAAGGTGATGGAGAAGATCGTGAGGAAAAGGCTCGTAGAGCATCTGGAGGGAAATAGCTTTGCGACACCCCATCAACATGGGTACAGAGATGGTAAATCGTACCTCATAGGTTTAATGGAATTCCATGACCAAGCAACAAAAATTAGGCAAGAAAGAGAAGGGTGGGCAGACTGCATTTTCTTGGACTGTCAGAAAGCCTTTGACACAGTACCCCATAAAAGGCTGTTAAAAAAGTTGGAGCAACAGGCAGGAGTAAAAGGTAAGGTGCTCCAGTGGATAAGGGAGTATCTAAGCAACAGGAAACAGCGAGTAACTGTGAGAGGAGAGACATCAGAGTGGCGAGATGTCACCAGCGGAGTGCCACAGGGCTCTGTACTTGGACCCATCCTGTTTCTAACATGTAAATGATCTTCCAGAGGGTATAGACTCATTCCTCTCAATATTTGCTGATGATGCAAAAATTATGAAAAGAATCAAGACAGACGAAGACAGACAGAGACTACAGGATGACCTGGACAAACTGGAGGAATGTTCTAGAATATGGCTGCTAAAGTTCAACTCAGGAAAGTGTAAAGTAATGAAATTAGTCGAAGGGAGCAGAAGGCTGAGCACAAGGTACCATCTGGGAGGTGAAATCCTGCAAGAGTCAAATAGAGAGAAAGATCTGGGGGTTGATATCACACCGAACCTGTCCCCAGAGGCCCACATCAAAAGGATATCATCAGCGGCATATGCTAGACTGGCCAACATAAGAACTGCCTTTAGAAACTTGTGTAAGGAATCGTTCTGGACCCTGTATACCACTTATGTAAGACCAATCCTGGAGTATGCACACACACACACACACACACACACACACACACACACACACACACACACACACACACACACAGTTCTGCAAACAAATGCATCACTTAATATTATGTTCATCTTTTACAAATAAATCATAATAAAATATTTAATACAAATATTTTCGTCGCTCACAAGCATCAATTACATTCACTCTTGGTAGTGTAACACTCGGCACCGTCTCTCTGCACGGAGGCACTTTAGTTTGAGTGTAAACCAGAAAAGGTAGTGTGCGGAGTGTGAGGGGCAAGACAGAAGCATCATACAGTGTGATGGTCTCGTGCAGGTGGCCAGCGTGGCGGGGTGGCTGGGGGCGGCAACCGTGCTAGTCATCTGGTTGATTCTCTACTGGAACATGTTCGTCATCGCCACCACCTTAATCTACGCCGTCGCCTTCATCCTCCCCGTTATTGGCTTCATACTCGCCTATATCCTCGCTAAACTCACCTGTCGGGTAAGTCCCTCACCTTTGTACCTATCTCCTCCCCAGAGGTCTCACTGAAACTTATTACCTAAAGTCTGAAATACATTGATATAACATTAATGCACTCTGGTGCCTGTATTACGCAGGGTGATAAATACAATCTACCAGACACACTCTACTCGCCTGGCATAATGGGAAAATATTATGGAAAGCATAACTCATATATCTACCCCGAGTACATGGGAACTCTGCCCTTATACACACACTGATGGTCCAAGGGTAGGGCGCCCGCTTGCTTCTAGCAGATCAGTGAGTGAGTGAGTGAGTGAGTGAGTGAGTGAGTGTGTGTGTGTGTGTGTGTGTGTGTGTGTGTGTAAGCCTACCTATATATTAATATTTAGATACAATTTATGACATGCCTGTTCACCATTACAGAGTAATAAAATGGCCCGCACCATCGCTATAGAAACTAGTAGTCAAAACATACCAGTTGCCCTCAGCGTCATCGCCCTCTCCTTTCCCCAGCCCCTGGTGAGTACCCATCGCCATCTCTCTTCCCCTGGTGAGTACCCATCGTCATCTCTCTTCCCCTGGTGAGTACCCATCGTCATCTCTCTTCCCCTGGTGAGTACCCATCGTCATCTCTCTTCCCCTGGTGAGTACCCATCGCCATCTCTTCCCCTGGTGAGTACCCATCGTCATCTCTCTTCCCCTGGTGAGTACCCATCGCCATCTCTTCCCCTGGTGAGTACCCATCGTCATCTCTCTTCCCCTGGTGAGTACCCATCGCCATCTCTCATCTAGACCTAGAATCAGTTCACTTAAAGGTATGATCACTGGAGCACTAACTCGGGACAGAAGAGCCTCCAATAACAACAGGTGGACCCATTGTGCGATAAACACCATCAATACATTCGATATAACAAGCACAATCACTGAGAGGGGTGTCGAGGAAATACATGCAGACTTTGTTATGCAAGCCCCTTGGGAATCTCTGCCAGCAGACTTTAAGATTATGGCTCTTGGAGGAAAAAAGAACCAGACTAATCCTCATCTGCTACGTAACATTGCACAGATGCAAATAGAAACAAACTTGGCATCTGACAGCTTCCCATACTTCACGGATGGATCAGTAGACCAGCAGGGACAAGAAACAGGAGCTGCAATTAAGGGAGGAAACTCTGTAAATAGTTGGAGACTCTCAAACGGGTGTTCAACTCTACAGAGATGCTAGCCATTGAAAAGGCTTTGGAACATTCACTTGCTGAACAACAACATTTTATCATACATACAGATTCGAGAACTGCCATTGAAACCTTGCATCAAGAACACATACGTGATAACATCCATCTGATCACAAATGTCATATCATTAATGCAAACACTCAAACATCAAGGCTGTCGGGTACTTATCAACTGGGTGCCAAGTCATGCGGGAATAATAGGAAATGACATTGCAGACGAAGCTGCAAAACTTACAACTAAGCGAAGAAATGTAGGCATTTACATACCGCAGAGTCTATCACAGATTAAGAAAGTAATTAGAAATAGAGCAATGCAGATGATGTACAGTGACCACAACACAGCAGTTGCAACATCAAGATCTGCGGGTTGGTATAAGAATTTAACCAACTATGAACCACTTATTTTGATGAAAGGGAGCAGTAGAACAACAGAAGTACACTTAACTCGCATCAGGCTTAGATACCCATGTGCATGGGAAATAGACTTACAGATTCCGGAAGATGAGAGGAAACGTCAGCACTGTGGAGAAATGGCCGACAGACCACTGGAACATTATCTAACACAGTGCACAGTTACAAAACCATTAAGATTCAACTTAGAGTCAACAGAGCAGAAGTTGTTAAACACATTGGGCAAAATCTTACTGAAGGGACCATACGAGTCATAAATACTCACACTCCGCCCAAGTAAAACAGAAACAAGCAACACTTAGTGAGCGAGCCAGAGTCTTAAGGCCCGCGCTTGAATATCCCTGATGTAAAAATCTCTTCCTCTGGCGAGTACCCATCGCCATCTCTTCCCTTGGTGAGTAAGTAATTATCAAAAGAAGGCACCAAGCCGGGAAGGCTATGTAGCACCATCAAATGTGCGGAGTAATCAAAGGGTGCTAAATATCACCAAGGGTGCAATACGAAAACAGAAACGCATATCGAACGATATCAAAAGTATCCGATTCACCAAGAATTCTATCAAGGGACAAGTGACCGCGAGGGATGGTCAGAAAGCAAGACACACGCTCGTCCTGGAAGTCAGGACATTCAACAAGGATATGCATGACTGTAAGAGGGACAATGCAATTTGGACAATACGGAGCAGGGCGGCATTCCATTAAGTGACCGTGACTTAAGTGAGTATAGCCAATACGCAACCTTGCCAGAGCTGTTTCCCATCGCCGGTTACGGTGGCAGGAGGAAGGCCATGGGGGACACTGCTTAAGAGTACGCAGTTTGTTACCAACAACAGAAGATCAACAACCCTGCCAACGGGCAATAATGAAGGAATGAATAACAGGGTAAAAGTATGTCACTTTTTGCTCGTACAAAAAAAGTGACAAAAAAAGCTTTGTAAAAAGAGATCAACCGTCTGCCGGCGGCGGTGTCTCTTCCAGGCTGCACGCTTACAGCGGACAGCCCGAACACAGTCCACATTCCACCAGAGAACGCACTTCCGCGTTCCCCGAGAGGAAGAGCGAGGAATAGAGCGGAGGGCACGAGGGAGAGGCAGGATGGAGCGGTCGGAGATAGTAGCTCAGAGGGTAAAGAGGCGCCAGTCAGCCTCGGCAAACTGCCACCTAGGGAAGGAGAGGGGAGGGTGAAAAGAGAAAAAGGTAACAAGGATGAGAAAATGGTCACTGCCATGGAGATCATCAAGGACCCACCACTCAAAATCTAAGTAAAGGGACGACGAGCAAAGAGAAAGATCAAGACAGGAAAGGGAGCAAGTTTGAGAGTCAAAATGAGGGGCTCACCAGAATTCAGAAGAGACAGGGAAGAAGAGAGGAACGGTTCAAGAAGGCAACCCCGGGCATTTGTCAAAACATCACCTCAAAGGGCATGTCGACAACTGAAATCACCCAGCAGGAGCACAGGCTCCGGCAAGGAGTCTAGGTGGTGTTTAAGATCAGGAAGAGAAAGTAGGACATTTGGGGGGAGATAAATGGAACAAACCGTGTACCATTTACGCACAAAGACACGGGTGGCAGAACAGTGGAGAGGCGATGGAAAATTAAGAGGACGAAGGAACATCGGAACGAATCAAGAGAGCAGAAGAGTTATGGGCTGTTGCTGGAGGGGGGTGGGGGAGGGAGAGAAAAGAATGGCCAAAGAAGCGACCAAGACGAGCACCAAGCATCAACTCCTGGAGACAGACACAAAGGGGCGAAAACTGTGAAATTAGAAGTTGGAGGTAAAGGAAATTGGCGTAATATTCACGAATGTTCCACTGAAGAAGAGACATCGAGAAAAGGAGAAAGGATAGCAACAGAGCACAAAGAAGAATCAAAGGTGAAAAAGGAACACAGCACGTTAAAGATGCTTAGGGTCAGCAAAGTCAGGGTGAGGGGGCATGGGTTAACCGAGTAAAGGAGGAGGGAAAGGAGCGGGAGGACAGACCAGAGGTGGACGAGCAGGGTCCGGAGGAGACAACTGAGAGGGGCGGTCAAGGAGAGGAGAAAGGGCAGAAAGAGGGGAGCGCACCTCGGCAAGGGAAGCAATCGAGACGGAAGTGGGGGCCAAAGAAACCTCCACAGCAGGAACAGGGGGCTCTACCACCGAAACGGGAAGGGATGGAACGAGAGAGACAGAGATAGGGGGCGAAGAAGAAAAGCGAAGCCTTCTTACCTGCTGGGGAGGAGGAAGGAGATGAGCCAGGCTTTCGCTTCTGACTCAAAGAGACTGGTGTCCCAGCAGCAATGTAGTGGGCAACAGACTCTAGCGTCTCAATAGCAGAAGAAGAACGAGAGCGAACAACATGATCTCCGGGAGAGCGATGGACATCTGCCTGCATAGACAGGCGGTGTGGAGAGCCAAGAGATGGAGGAGAATGACGGGAAGGAGGATCAGAGGGAGAGGGGAAAGTCTGGCCGATGTAAACACATGCACACTCATTACAAGGGATGGAGTACACACAACCTGCTACAGACGAGGGAGAGTTCTTAATTAACATGGACTTAACTGTATTATCATTTTTTAACACTAGATTAATATTAAGGTTCTTCAGGCCTGGGGCAAGATATTATATATATATATATATATATATATATATATATATATATATATATATATATATATATATATATATATATATATATATATATATATATATATAAACTTTATAACTAATCAAAAGATTAACTCTGTATTTCCACCAGGATTTGTGAAAGGCTTATGCGGTACCCCAATTCACGTAGACTGCCTCACCCAATAACAGTGTTTATTTATATTGTTCCATATTTCCTCATCAAACTGGAGTTCAAAATGCCTTATAACAACAAATCCATTTTTGCAAAGAAATGCGTTTACAGTTCAACAAAGAAATATTGTAGAGAAAATCTTTTGGAGCAATAGAATAGAACTGAACGCTCTACCCGGACCACCCCAGATGCTCATCCAACCTGTCCTCTTACAAAGAACGTTGCTTTTCTCTCGTATGCGTTACTAAAACTAAACATTGTCCTATTAGAAAATTGATACGGCTCGGGAAAGTGGCGTACTGTCCCGTTTTCTGTTTTGGGTCCGCTGGCTTAGTCTGTTAGGTTAGGACACTTTAAATTAACCATTTTCTTGACGTTTTGACACCTTAGGAGGATGGGCTGGCTCATCATCCACTAGACCACGATGAGCTAAGCTTGTCCTAAATTGGCATCCGAGGTCAGCTAAGTTAATTTGAACTTCGGCTTATGCTGTTTATAGCTTTGTATTTTAGCAGGTAAATTGTGCATCTTAGGTGAACTGGAACATTCTATTCCATTCAATTCCATGCTATTGCTTCAAAGCATTTTCTTTTAGATATATCAGGCTATTGTTATTTCACGGTGCAATTCTTGGTCACGGCCCTCTAATAATTAGCCCCCCCCCCCTTCTTTACCCCATCTTCCCACACCCTATCCACTACAACTATCCCTATTAACAATACTAACCGACATCATTTCTATCCTCATATTCCCACAGGTGAAGGGACAGATTCTCATCTTCCCTACATTGTACGGCATCATCCTCCTGTTAGAGGCGTTCTTTGGCATAATGGGCTACCAGTTGTATAAGAGGAGGTGCTCCAGCCCGAGCGACGACACCAGCACGGCAAACGTCGAGGAAGGCCCCCAAGGAGTGAAGGAAACCTCTGAACACATGTTGGATAATTGTAAATAGAAGAAAATAACTGAAAACAACTCGAGCAGCCCAAATTAAAGTAGGAATGTTATAAAGTCAGAAATATAAAGTTACCAGATCGAATAGTGGGATTAATATCTGACGAAGAAAACCCCCTGAATCCTGAACCCCCAAAAGAATAAACCCATCAAAAGAAGCTGGTGTTTAATCATTCAGGTGTTGGGTTTGGGATTTATATGGGCTAAACGGATCTTAATCGAGGATTTTCGCAATTTTGTTTAATACTATTGTATAACTTAAATATTCTTATAAACATTTTGACCTATATTTTAAGGAAATCGGACAACTCTTAAATGTTTTCAAATTCGCCAACAACTGCGAATGAAAAACAAAATGAAATCAAAATAATTAAATACAAGTCATTGGAAAGTATAAAGTCATATAATTAAAAGGGATATTGTTAAGAATTTGACGCTCCATTTTGGCAAGAACATTAAAGTTTAAGCAGGCGATGAGTCACAACGTGGCTAAAGTATGATGACCAGACCACACACTAGAAGGTGAAGGGACGACGACGTTTCGGTCCGTCCTGGACCATTCTCAAGTCGAAGGTCCAGGACGGACCGAAACGTCGTCGTCCCTTCACCTTCTAGTGTGTGGTCTGGTCAAATTAAAGTTTAATAAGTGCAGTGTGAGGTGTTACCTCCACAACTCCGGTAGTTCCCTCCGACCTTGACGACTCTCCCACTACACACACACACCAACAACCATTGCAGAGCCACTTTTATAAATATTTGCTAAAATTTATTAAATTATAATTTTTTAACGCAAAACTCATGATTTTCTGTAATAATTAGGACACAACAGTGTTAATAAAAGTGGAAATAAAGAACTTTGTTTACACTTTCAAATTATGCCAAACAAATCACTGCAATAATAATTGTTTAAACTACTAACAACCAAATTTTTGATAGGTATATATTGTTCCAATAGTACAAGTACTTTTATAGTCTAAATATCAAAGAAATATAAATCAGAAAATTTTGAGCAAAACCAGCCAGACCCCGTTAACCGTGGTCATATACTCAGCTGCCGGCTGAGGCTTCTACATGTGGGATTCAACACACAATATATATATGGTTATGTAATTTACTTTTAGTCACGTTTCCTACGCGAAGAAACTTGTCCCCAAAAAATCTAATGTGTACTTATGATGAGATCTTCATAATACAGCGGTGGTAATAACACTGTTGTGCTTAAGTATTAAACAACCGTAATAACCACAGAGTTATGCTAACCATAGATAAATGTTTATTATAATGGGAACTTAAATCATAATTATACAGAATAATTATCCATCTATAAAAGGGAATGTGTATGTTTGTGTCTGTCTGTCCAAAGTTACAAACCAAACCCGTGTGGCTAGCCTCGCGCAACTTTGCATGATGATGATAATCATAAAGGGGTCGAGTTTGGCTCCTATACCGGTACTCCAGGAAGGGGGTGCCGGCCAACGCACCCCCCCCCCCTTTCACGAGTTACTGGATGTAAATGTGCACTCAAAGTTCGTAGAGTTAAGGTGCTGAAATATTAATGTATACTGATATGCAAAACGAATGTTCAGATGATAGATCTGCGTTCTGAGCACAACCTTTAGGTTACATAATGACCAAATCAAACATCAGAAAACAAACCAAACATCAGAAATCAACCAGGGTCATTATCAAGTCGTGTAAAAGAAAGAGTGGAAGAGACAAATAAACAAGACAAGAAAGTAAGATACAAGGTGAGAGGCATATAAGAGAAAGAAAATTTTGTAAGAATAAGAAGAAAGGTAAGAATAGTATAAAAGGACAGAGACTAGAGAGCTGTCTTAGTTTACGGTTAAAAGAAGTTTTAAGGCGATCCTAGGGGGGTTAGAAATCAGAGATTTATTGGGGTCAGAAAGCAAAACATCAGCCTTCTGGATATAGTCCAACGGTCAAGAACAACCACCAAATTGCCTTTGTCTGAAGGAAGGTTAACAATAGTTTATAGCAGGGGTGGGCAACCTTTTTGAGAGTGCGTGCCAAAATCAGCCAAGTCTCTCACACAAACTTTTTCCACGTGCCAACCATTTTTTTTAGAACATTTGGTATCTCTTAAGAACTTTTTAAACGAAAAAATAATAAATTACCTCAGTGCAGTAAAACATAGTATAAAAAAAAACAGAAAAAAAAATTATTTAACCTTCAAAAGTACATTTCAACAGCCTTTAAGCTTTTGTGGCTTTAATAGAATACAACAGATAAAAAACTTGTTGACTCCTTTTATATACTATCAGTGAGACTTCTGCTGCTGCATAACTGATAACAGAGATTTTACATCGGGTTTATATTTAGTAACATTGCGAGATATGCATGCAGCGCTAGTTTCATCTGTCACGCTACTCCTGTTACGAGACTTAACAAAGTTCATAATTGAGAACAAAGATTCGCAAGCATATGTAGACGAAAACATGGTTAGCAATGCTGTTGCAAGGTTTTTTTAAACAGACATAATTTTCTGGAATAGTATTCCAAGTCCTTAATACTTCGTTTTCCGCATTTCTCTTTGTTACTTTCATCTCTAATCTCTCTCTTTCAATATTTTCCAAGTCAACTCTAAGGTCAACAAATTTCTGCTTCCAAATTGAGCTACTCTGAAATTCAATCAACTGCATCTCAAAATCATCCATGTCTATCCATGAAAACATTTGCAAGTTTAGTTCATCCATTTTGATGCTGTCTGGAAACTTGATGAACTTTACTGTGTCTTCCAGTTCTCTGAATTTGGCAAATCTTGTAGAGAACTGCCAAACTGTTGACTCGATAATGTTTACAAACAGCTTTTGAAGACATTTGTGGTCTGTTCTGTCATCTTTTAGATCACTGATGTACCTCTTTAGGTTTGGAAAGTATCTAAATCTCTCATTATCTACATCCCTCTTAAAAACTTTAAGCTTCATTTCAAAAGCTTTTATATAACCAAACATAACATCAAGTGTCTTACCAGCGCCCTGTAACTTAATATTCAATTTATTTAAATGTTCACAAAAATCTGCAAAAAACATCAGTTTACAAACCCACACGATGTCAGAAAATTCCTGGTGACACTTGTTGGTCGTTCAAATAGAGCTTTATCTCATCTAAGCATTCAATAAATCGTTTCAGAACCAAGCCTCTGCTAAGCCAACGAACATGGTTGTACATTTTCAGTCCTTTATACACAGATTCAACCTCATCCAGTAGAGTTTGAAATTGTCTTTTATTTAAAGGCCGACCACAAATGTAATTAACAACCTTGGTAACTGTTTGCATCACTTCTTGCAGTTCCTTTAGGCCAGCTTTTGCACATAAAGCCTCCTCATGTATGATGCAATGGAAGCCAATCAGTGGATGACCAACACTTTTTGCAAACAGATTTACAAATCCTGCCTTCTCACCAGTCATGTTTGGGGCACCATCTGTTGTGACGGATACTACTTTTGAAATGTCAATTTGCCGAGTAGAGAATTCGTTCACAACTGTTTTACATATTTCAGCCCCGGTAGTACGCTCAGGTAGTGATGCAAGAGCAACCATCTCTTCCATAAGACTATTCTTACAATGATATTGAGTTTCACAAAGTTATTGATTTATAAGGGGAATAATTTTCACCTGGAGATGAAGTACTGACTTTTTCTCGGGGAGGAGGCAAGTGAGCAACTGTGAGAAACACTACGAAGCAAGACTGCGAGAGAGAGTTACGAGCCTGAGATCGTCTGAACATGTGTTCATTACGGGGACTTCATGGGGGTGGGGGACTGTTGATTTCATTGGTTATATTACGGCCGTCAATGGAGAGAAGGGGAGAGCATAAGAATTCTTATCTTTCTTTAGCTTTCGAAGGTGAAGCTGCTTTAGATTTAGATAGTAAAGTGAGTTTAATTAATATGCGTCAAACTGAAGTCGGGCGGCATTCAAACACATGAGGTTTAGGGGGGGGGGGAGATGTTGTGGGGGTTTAAATTCAAAGTTTACGAAATTAATTTTTAAAGGTGGGCAGGCATGGCGTATTTTGCCTTCACAGATATGATTGTCAGTGTACACTATGGTTATGGGTGCAGCCTTTAGGTTAGAAAGGCTTATTACATAAAATATGAGCCAAAGTAAATAGAGGGAATCATCATACATCAGCATGATCGATGATGTGCTTGCATCTGTGCTTAGGGTAACCTATGCTCTTGCGTGCCAGAGACAAGTCATCGGCGTGCCAAGTTTGGCATGCGTGCCAGAGGTTGCCCACCCCTGGTTTATAGCTTTGAGGGAAGCAAGAGCAAGCTGGAAGCGACGAAGAAGGTGGTGATTTTTAGAAAACTGTCAAGAGTGGGGATAATACTCTTTCGGACCTAGAGTCGCCGCTCTGCTACCGGAGGGCGCTGACGTTCGGCCCGGGCTGTCAGTGTTGACCTGTAACTGCTGCGTGGTGGTCGTCTTGTTGCCGGTGTGGTGCGGCCATTGGCCGGGGCCTGGCGGGTGTTATGGCGTCGGCTAGTGGTGGCCGTGTTCGCCGGGTCGACACCGCCCGGCTTGATTTCTCGGCCCCCGTTGACTGGCCCTTGGTGGAGGTTGCCCTTATGGACGTCATGCGTGTGGAGTACCAGAATCTCTACGGTGTTGAGAAACTTTCCCCTACCCGGGTGGCGGTGACGTTCTCCTCGGCGCAGGTGTATCAGCTGTTTGTGCGTCGATGGGGTACACGGACGCATGTACTTCCAGGTTCTGCTGTGACGGTGGAGGTCTCCGATCCGTGGGGCCCCCTGACGTATGTGAGCGTTCATGGTGCGCCGGTGCAGCTTCCTGAGGATGAGCTGTCCGCCGCGTTCCGTCGGTATGGTGAGGTGGTGGGGCAGCGTCATGCCTGTCTGCTTAGTGGGCGCCTGAAGGGGCTCCGTATGGGTGCACGTACTTTGCGCATGCGGCTCTCTGGGGCTATTCCCTCTCGGGTGGCTGTGTGTGGGTTTTATGTGCGTGTGTTCTACCAGGGGCAGACTCGCTCCTGTTTCCGGTGTGGTGAGGTAGGCCATTTCGCTGCAGCTTGCCGTGCCCCTCGCCCGGAGGACCCATCGGTTTTCCATGCGGATGATTTTCCACTTCTGCCGGAGGCTGGGGCGCCCCCAGTGGGCCCGGGCTCTGTGGGTGTGCCTCTGGAGGCGTCGTCCCCAGCTGTCCCTACCTCTCCGTCTGCTGCTGGGTCCTCTGCTCTGTCTGTTGACTCTGATGCTCTCGCGGCTCCTGCTTCGGGTGCGCCTCTGCTGGTGGCGGCGGAGGTACATCGCGACCCGAGTGTCTCCTTGAAATCCGACGTGTGTGGTGTGGTGCCGGCGGGCGACCCGTGTGCAGTGGCCAGTGTGCTTCCCGAGGCCAGGGGCGGTGTTGTTACTGTGTCTCATGACGGCCAGCCTAGTGGTGTTCCTGATGCTGGTGCCGTGGCGCAGCCGCCTGCTGTCGCTTGTGCTGTGCATCCTGTGGTTGCATTGGGCTCTTCTGTTCCTCGGCGAAAGCGCGCTCCGAGGGATCGGTCGCACGGCAGGGGCCCCCCTGGGAAGAGGATCGAGGCTTCGGGTGGTGTGCCTTTGGCTGGTGCTCCTCCCTCCGCTTCTCCAGTGGTTCCTCCTCCCCCTTCGGAAGCGGGATCTGGGGATGAACGGGGCATTGAGCGTGGTGTCGGGCTCGGGGTGGCGGAGGCAGTGGAGACACTGTGGATGGTGTCCTCGACGCCTGGGGCGCCCTCTTCGCATGGTGTGTCTCCTGTGATTTTGAAGGCGGTTCCTGGCCGGTCGTCTTCCAGGGTGCGGCAGGGGGTTGAGCCTGGTGGTGTGGATGTGGCTCCCGCTGCGGGTGCGGTTGTGTCCCCTGGGAGACGCGTTGGGTTGGGGGTGTCCTGAGGTTCTCCCGATGGCGCCCTCTGTTGTCTGTGCGTCTTTGCATGTTCGTGGTTTAAATGATCTTGGGGTCCAGTTGGGCCTGTTGGATGGTGTGTGTGTGTGTGTGTGTGTGGTTGTTTTGTTTCTGTTGTGGTTGCTCCTGTGGGTGTGTGTTCGTTTGGGTGTGCTTGTGTGTGGGTGTGGTTTTTATGTTTTCCCTGGCTCCTGCGTGGGCCTTTTTGTTTGCCTTGTATGGGTTTTATAGTTTGTGCATTTTTGTTCTTTATGGTATGTATGCTTATATGCTCCTCTGTCTTTGGAGCGTGCCTCTTCTGTATTTTGTGATTTTCTGTGTGGGGGGGTTGGGGTGCCCAGGTTTATGTTTTGTCCTCCCCCCTCCCTTTTCATGTACTACTGTTCCTGTGTTATGAGTGTTCTTTTTGCCATTACTGATTGTTATTTCTCTTTTTATGTGCCATGTACTTTGCCTTGGGCTATTTATGTATTGTTTATTTGTTCTTTCTTGATTTGTGTTTTGTGTTCTGCCTTTGTATTATGTCTTTTTAATTATGCATGAGGACACGGAGTAAGACACAAGAGATGTAATCAGTTATTTCTGTTTGACTTTCCATGTTCTGTATTTCCATGTTTTTTGTTTAATGTAGTTTTGTAATTTTGCCTCTTAGGGGTTTCGGAGGCCTGTTGTTCTGTACTTTTATGCACCTGTGTTTGGGTTGTTGGGCTGGGCTTGTATGTGCGTTCTCCTTTTGTATTTCTGTACTTAAGTTTGTGTGGAAGTGCCTATGTTTTATGTTATTTCTATTGTGTGCTATTTATGTCATGTTCTGTTTTTTGTGGTACATACTGTCCCCGTTTCTGGGTTCTTTTTTTTTTGTGCCTTGTGTCATGTGTTTTATTTCTTGGTTTTTGTTGGGTATGTTTAGTGTATCCGTGTTTACTTCCTTTGTTATATTGTCCTGTGTATGTTCTTAACTTGTTCTTTCGGCGGGTGTCTGTTTTGTACATTGTGTATTCTTTTATAAAAAAAAAAAAAAAAAAAAAAAAAAAAAAATATATATATATATATATGGTTATGTAATTTACTTTTAGTCACGTTTCCTACGCGAAGAAACTTGTCCCCAAAAATCTAATATGTGTACTTATGATGAGATCTTCATAATACAGCGGTGGTAATAACACTGTTGTCCTTAAGTATTAAACAACCGTAATAACCACAGTTATGCTAACCATAGATAAATGTTTATTATAATGGGAACTTAAATCATATAATTATACAGGATAATTATCCATCTATAAAAGGGAATGTGTATGTCTGTGTCTGTCTGTCCAAAGTTGCAAACCAAACCCGTGTGGCTAGCCTCGCGCAACTTTGCACGATGATGATAATCATAAAGGGGTCGAGTTTGACTCCTATACCGGTACTCCAGGAAGGGGGTGCCGGCCAACGCACCCCCCCCCCCCCCCTTTCACGAGTTCCTGGATGTAAATGTGCACTCAAAGTTCGTAGAGTTAAGGTGCTGAAATATTAATGTATACTGATATGCAAAACGAATGTTCAGATGATAGATCTGCGTTCTGAGCACAACCTTTAGGTTACATAATGACCAAATCAAACATCAGAAAACAAACCAAACATCAGAAATCAACCAGGGTCATTATCAAGTCGTGTAAAAGAAAGAGTGGAAGAGACAAATAAACAAGACAAGAAAGTAAGATACAAGGTGAGAGGCATATAAGAGAAAGAAAATTTTGTAAGAATAAGAAGAAAGGTAAGAATAGTATAAAAGGACAGAGACTAGAGAGCTGTCTTAGTTTACGGTTAAAAGAAGTTTTAAGGCGATCCTAGGGGGGTTAGAAATCAGAGATTTATTGGGGTCAGAAAGCAAAACATCAGCCTTCTGGATATAGTCCAACGGTCAAGAACAACCACCAAATTGCCTTTGTCTGAAGGAAGGTTAACAATAGTTTATAGCAGGGGTGGGCAACCTTTTTGAGAGTGCGTGCCGAAATCAGCCAAGTCTCTCACACAAACTTTTTCCACGTGCCAACCATTTTTTTTAGAACATATTTGGTATCTCTTAAGAACTTTTTAAACGAAAAAATAATAAATTACCTCAGTGCAGTAAAACATAGTATAAAAAAAAACAGAAAAAAAAATTATTTAACCTTCAAAAGTACATTTCAACAGCCTTTAAGCTTTTGTGACTTTAATAGAATACAACAGATAAAAAACTTGTTGACTCCTTTTATATACTGTCAGTGAGACTTCTGCTGCTGCATAACTGATGACAGAGATTTTACATCGGGTTTATATTTAGTAACATTGAGAGATATGCATGCAGCGCTAGTTTCATCTGTCACGCTACTCCTGTTACGAGACTTAACAAAGTTCATAATTGAGAACAAAGATTCGCAAGCATATGTAGACGAAAACATGGTTAGCAATGCTGTTGCAAGGTTTTTTTAAACAGACATAATTTTCTGGAATAGTATTCCAAGTCCTTAATACTTCGTTTTCCGCATTTCTCTTTGTTACTTTCATCTCTAATCTCTCTCTTTCAATATTTTCCAAGTCAACTCTAAGGTCAACAAATTTCTGCTTCCAAATTGAGCTACTCTGAAATTCAATCAACTGCATCTCAAAATCATCCATGTCTATCCATGAAAACATTTGCAAGTTTAGTTCATCCATTTTGATGCTGTCTGGAAACTTGATGAACTTTACTGTGTCTTCCAGTTCTCTGAATTTGGCAAATCTTGTAGAGAACTGCCAAACTGTTGACTCGATAATGTTTACAAACAGCTTTTGAAGACATTTGTGGTCTGTTCTGTCATCTTTTAGATCACTGATGTACCTCTTTAGGTTTGGAAAGTATCTAAATCTCTCATTATCTACATCCCTCTTAAAAACTTTAAGCTTCATTTCAAAAGCTTTTATATAACCAAACATAACATCAAGTGTCTTACCAGCGCCCTGTAACTTAATATTCAATTTATTTAAATGTTCACAAAAATCTGCAAAAAACATCAGTTTACAAACCCACACGATGTCAGAAAATTCCTGGTGACACTTGTTGGTCGTTCAAATAGAGCTTTATCTCATCTAAGCATTCAATAAATCGTTTCAGAACCAAGCCTCTGCTAAGCCAACGAACATGGTTGTACATTTTCAGTCCTTTATACACAGATTCAACCTCATCCAGTAGAGTTTGAAATTGTCTTTTATTTAAAGGCCGACCACAAATGTAATTAACAACCTTGGTAACTGTTTGCATCACTTCTTGCAGTTCCTTTAGGCCAGCTTTTGCACATAAAGCCTCCTCATGTATGATGCAATGGAAGCCAATCAGTGGATGACCAACACTTTTTGCAAACAGATTTACAAATCCTGCCTTCTCACCAGTCATGTTTGGGGCACCATCTGTTGTGACGGATACTACTTTTGAAATGTCAATTTGCCGAGTAGAGAATTCGTTCACAACTGTTTTACATATTTCAGCCCCGGTAGTACGCTCAGGTAGTGATGCAAGAGCAACCATCTCTTCCATAAGACTATTCTTACAATGATATTGAGTTTCACAAAGTTATTGATTTATAAGGGGAATAATTTTCACCTGGAGATGAAGTACTGACTTTTTCTCGGGGAGGAGGCAAGTGAGCAACTGTGAGAAACACTACGAAGCAAGACTGCGAGAGAGAGTTACGAGCCTGAGATCGTCTGAACATGTGTTCATTACGGGGACTTCATGGGGGTGGGGGACTGTTGATTTCATTGGTTATATTACGGCCGTCAATGGAGAGAAGGGGAGAGCATAAGAATTCTTATCTTTCTTTAGCTTTCGAAGGTGAAGCTGCTTTAGATTTAGATAGTAAAGTGAGTTTAATTAATATGCGTCAAACTGAAGTCGGGCGGCATTCAAACACATGAGGTTTAGGGGGGGGGGGGGGAGATGTTGTGGGGGTTTAAATTCAAAGTTTACGAAATTAATTTTTAAAGGTGGGCAGGCATGGCGTATTTTGCCTTCACAGATATGATTGTCAGTGTACACTATGGTTATGGGTGCAGCCTTTAGGTTAGAAAGGCTTATTACATAAAATATGAGCCAAAGTAAATAGAGGGGAATCATCATACATCGGCATGATCGATGATGTGCTTGCATCTGTGCTGAGGGTAACATGTGCTCTTGCGTGCCAGAGACAAGTCATCGGCGTGCCAAGTTTGGCATGCGTGCCAGAGGTTGCCCACCCCTGGTTTATAGCTTTGAGGGAAGCAAGAGCAAGCTGGAAACGACGAGGAAGGTGGTGATTTTTAGAAAACTGTCAAGAGTGGGGATAATACTCTTTCCGACCTAGAGTTAGAATTGTTAAACTTAAAGGAACTAATGAGATCAATCAGGGAGTTGACGAGAATACTGGTTAAGTTCGCTAGGCACAAAAATCGTCGCTAATAATAAAATATTTAAAGCTAGCAGAGTTATCAGTCTGTTTTCACAAACTTATGATAGGTCCGCAGTTATGAAGGAAGCTCCCATTATCATACCCAGTATACATAACCCACACCTGACATGTCATACATTATTTAGCGGCTGTGTTACCTTTAAGACACATTTAATCATTATCTAAATGAAAAATGATCCTATAAATTTGAAAGGAATGTTCAACTTTTATCCGCCTGTCAACCATTTGCAATGCGTGAATGACACCATCAACAGAGCGCTGTGATGGTGGCCCACGCGCCCTGCGCCGCCCTGGTGGCATGATGCGGCAACAAAACATCACCTCCAGAATTTCAAGTTTAATTCTGTTTAGCAATTCTCTTGCCCAAAATATAAACAACTACACCACAGCTGATCTTAGAGGTGGTAAGAGTTGTGGAATAAAATCCACTTTAAAATATCTTTCGATAAATATATGTATGATGAAACATACTAAAATAGTTTTTTCACAAAATATTCTTGTAAAATAGCGGTGCGTCCTATGGGAGGGTGCGTCTTACACGCCGGCAAATACAGTACATATAAATCAAAGCAAGTATAAAGTAAGTTACATAATTATAAGATAACGTAGAGGATCGGAAATTCTGCATTTTGGCAGGAATATTCAAATCTCAAAAACCCATTTTTTGTATTCGTAGATTCTAAAATTTTTAATGGATTTTGACGAAATTTAGAAAAGAATACATAACTTAGCGGGCGTTACAATTATGAGAGAATATATTTTGAAAAACTTTTTTAATGAGATTAATAATAAAATTATTTTTTTATAAGAAACAAATCTAAAATTTTATTTTCAGTCTTATAGAATTTTGTTTTTTTTTCTAATGATACGATAACCATGATCGAACAAATCCAACCCGGAGCTGTGATGAGGGGTCGAACCTATGCGCTGGGTGTTCCCAGGCGCGTTCTAGTCGATTGCACCAAGACATGGCAAAAGAATTACAACCTGGGGCCAGATTCACGAAGCAGTTGCGCAAGTACTTACGAACGTGTACATATTTCCATAATCTTTGACGGCTTTGGTTACATTTATTAAACAGTTTACAAGCATGAAAACGTCCCAATCAACTTTTGTTATTGTTATAAACAACCTCCTGGTGCTTCGGAGCTCATTAACTGTTTAATAATTGTAAAAAAAAGCCGCTAAAGATTGAGAAAAGATGTACAGGTTCGTAAGCGCTTGCGTAATTGCTTCGTGAATCTGGCTCCCTGGAGTACTACTGTATCCAGATTCACGAAGTATCTGGATGCAGTAGTGGAAGCCTTGGAAACCCAAAGGCTTCCACTAAAGCCTAACCGGGGTTTCACGCAATTCGTGGTGCAGTTGACTAGAGCGCGTCTGAGAACACTCAGCGCATAGATTCGAACCTTCATCAAGGCTCCTGTTGGATTTGTTCATTGACATATCGCGTTAATGTGATTTCTCTGTGTATTGAAGGAGGCAGAATTACTCGATATAATATCAAGGTAATATCTCATACTCCAGCTAAGTAAAACAGAAACACTATGTTAGCCAGAGGCTTAGGGCCCGCACAAGAATATCCCTAATAAAAATAAAAAAATAAGGGGCTGATAACCCATTTTTAACATTGTTAAACAGCTCCATGATAAAGTATGTATGTTTCATCAGAAAATTTGGCTTAATATTACAGTTACACATATATTTGGTGTTTTCTTAACCTTCACTCAAGCACTACGGAAGTGTAGTAACTTTCTCTATGATTTAATGTTAAATATAAAATATGCAACGAAAATGGGTAAACTTGATTCGGGCCCCTTAAAAGTTGTGGATGGAGGTAGCTTCTACAACTTCCTCTTTTCGTGCCTTCTTGGTAGTAATGATGGCTGGTGGGTAGCGATGGTGGTGTGGGGGGGGGTGGTGGTGAGGGGGGGTGGTGGTGAGGGGGGGTGGTGGTGAGGGGGGGTGGTGGTGAGGGGGGGTGGTGGTGAGGGGGGGTGGTGGTGAGGGGGGGTGGTGGTGAGGGGGGGTGGTGGGGGGGGGGGTGGTGGTGGTGGTGGGGGGTGGTGGTGAGGGGGGGGGGGGTGGAGGTGAGGGGGGGTGGTGGTGAGGGGGGGTGGTGGTGAGGGGAGGGGTGGTGGTGGTGAGGGGTGGTGGTGGTGAGGGGGGGTGGTGGTGGTGGTGGTGGTGGTGGGGGGAAGGGGTCGCTATGTCATAGTGTGGATGTGTACCAAGAAACCTTGTCAGTCTTGTGCCTCCGCTGTGAGCGGTAACACCATCTTGTGCTTCAACCCATCCACTCTTGCCCATCTTCTCAAGACACCTTCCCCCTCTCGTTGAACGCGTCTCTCTCACATCCATACATGTATCTTCCATGAGTATATCTTCTACCTGTATAAATATCCTCCACACTACCTGTCTTTATGCGTGTATTAAATGTAAACATTCCCTACCTCTGCGCGCATACCCTACAACTACATGTTCACCTGTACACATCTTTCTCTACTAGTTTCCTACAGAATGTTGTTGTTGTTGTTAAAGATTTAGCTACTGAGGACGAAGTGTCCATGTAGCACGGGCTATGGTGAGCCCGTGCTACAGAAACCAGTGTACAGCTATATACAAAGTGTACGTATTTTTGTCGAACACGCTCTTTTAGTGGGAGGATAAGTCTTCCCGCGAGAGGCAACTGCTGCCGCCTACGTCACTATGACTGTCAAGTAAGTCCCTCACACTAGCATCAGCTCACAGGAACAACATAATATTTAACAAAACTGCCAAGAGTTATTGGCATATGGCATACGGTTATATGGCATATTGGCATATAGGAGGCCGAGCGGACAGCACGCTGGGCTTGTGATCCTGTGGTCTTGGGTTCGATCCCAGGCGCCGGCGAGAAACAATGGGCAGAGTTTCTTTCACCCTATGCCCCTGTTACCTAGCAGTAAAATAGGTACCTGGGTGTTAGTCAGCTGTCACGGGCTGCTTCCTGGGGGTGGAGGCCTGGTCGAGGACCGGGCCGCGGGGACACTAAAGCCCCGAAATCATTTCAAGATAACCTCAAGATATGCGAGGCGGCTCCTGTTTACACACAACATAAAAGTAGGGGCGTTAGGAGAAGAAAATATTAAAGTGTTCAGTGAGAATCCACAAGGTATTCTCTGAATGCCCTTTATTCCCTTCTCCAAGGCTATGGGTCCCTACAATTGCACCAGAGGTGGTACCCCATATTCCTATTGAAGACGGCCGTTTTGATCTGAGAGCAATTTATCATTCCTCTCTCTGCGTTTTTCAGCATTAATGAACAGTGTTATAGATCATTTCATGTATATGTAGCAAGTATATTATATAAGTAATTATACGTGCTCCATACTCTCATTAGTTTATGTGCAGATAATGAGATGGGTGTGTTTATTATATATATAACCTATCTCTAAGTTATCACATTCCTAGAAGTCCTACACTGATTCTTGGTCCACTAATTACACGTCCCCAAGTGTACAACTTATTACAGTTAACACCCCTTCCCAACCTGGTAGATGATGGTCGGGTGAGGTTGATGCCTGTAATATAAGCTTCGACAGCAAATCGGTCAAATTTACGGGATATTCCTGCCCGTGCCACCTCTTGGGTGGCTTAATCTTTATCAGTCATCATCATCGATCAAACTCTTGGCAGACTTAATCTTTATCATCGGTCAGTTTTACGGGCTATTCATGCCCGTACCACCTCTTAGGTGGCTTAATCTTCATTAATCGATGATGATGATGAAGATTAAGCCACCCAAAAGGTGGCACGGGCATGAATAGCCCGTAAGTGGTGGCCCTTTTGAGCCATCACCAGTATCAAGAGCTGATACTGGAGATCTGTGGAGGTGCTACTGCACCCTACGTGACGGGAGATGTCTCCCGTGTTCATTAATCAATCGATCCGTCAGTCTAAACTCCACAAACATCACGTACCGCTCCTGTGCCAGGTAAGTCCACAACGGGCTCACCATAGCCCGTGCTACTTGGAGCTTGTTCCGAGTAGCTGAATCTATAACATCATCATCATCTAAACTCCAAGAGTTGTTCAGTAGAGTCGCTTGCGAGATACCACACATCTTCAACATTCACCAACAACAATGTAACACTCGACGTGTAAAGTTCCTATCGTCGTAAGACGCTTCAGCCTTGACACAGAGCAGCCACCCAGATTCTGGCCGGATCGAGCTTCTACACTCTCGTCCCGCACTCTAGTTCTTCCACCGGCATCAGTGGAGCGCGACGCTCAACACACTCACCCCGCATCCAGGCTCTCTACCCCCGGCCTCACTCAGCTCTCTGCCCTGCTTCACGCTTCGTCTCAACTATAGCAACACTTCACTACATTGCCAACAAACCGACTGCTGTAACCAAGGCTATACTAAATATAAGAAACCATTAAACTCTTTACGTAATCATGGGAGACATCTCCCGTCCACGAGGCTAACCATACCCCGTGCTTCTTGCCCCGCTCCTGTGCCAGGTAAGTTACGGGTTCACCATAGTTCGTGCTACTTGGAACTTATTGTTCTGAGTAGCGAATCTTAAACAACAACAACTTTACGTAATGTCAACCAAATACGTACATGTAAACATATGTTACACATACATATGTGTGGTATAATAGAGTAGTGCATGAAACGTAATGTCTGCAGATGGCGGAGACGAGTTTGAACACTGTTGGTCCCGATCTGCTGTCATTGATGCTGGAGCAGAAAGTGGAGCCTGGGGGATGGAACGTGACCCAGGTGGCCAATGCCACCCTCACCGGGCGGGAGCCCTGGAAAGACACACTTGACTTTGTTGCCACCATCACCCTCACTTGCAATTCCCTTATCCTTATGCTCGGCATGGGGTCTGCTATTAACTGGATTGAGGTAAGCTCACCAGCCAGGAGCAATTTGTTTGAAGGTTTTCACCCAGTTTAGGGAGGATTCGAAATAGTAAGTGCTTTTACTAAAGTTTTCTTTATGAAGCGAGTCTTTTCCTCCTAATGTGTTATAATGAATGAGCATTTGCAATCCAGTGGGCGTTTGAAGGTTAAAACACAAGTGTGTGTTTACACGCAGCAGACCTCCAAACACGCCTAAGACTTACAGACAGTCTGAGATAGTAGAGCAAGCACTTTGTTAAAGACCAAATCCACAAGGGCCGTGACGAGGATTCGAACCTGCGTCCGAGAGCATCCCAGACGCTGCCTTAATCGACTGAGTTACGACATAGTCAAAGGGAGTTGAAACCGAAGTTCTACAGAACTTACTGGATCCTGCAGCCTTGTGGATTTGTTCATTTGATGCATCACGCAATTGTGTAATCAAGCACTTTGATTACACAATTATATTGTGTATATTTTTTGATTACACACAGAAATTGTAATCAATTTCTGTGTGTAATCAATCACTTTGTTCTTGTGACTGACAATAGCAGGTCTTGGTTCTCACAGATATGGTCCCACGTGCGTCGACCAGTGGGAGCAGCGATCGGGATGTTGGGTCAGTTCGCGGTGCTGCCGTTAACGGGGTTCGTACTCTCCCTACTCTTCAAGTTGAGACCTTACGAAGCCCTGGGCGTCCTCATGATCTCCTGCAGCCCCGGAGGATCACTCTCCAACCTCTTAACTTATTGGGCGGACGGAGACTTGGCACTCAGGTATGAAGGGGCAGTGATATGCGCGGGTAGTTGACCGATTTATCTTAATTTACGTGAAATGTTTATTTGTAGAAAGTAGTGCACATGTCAGTTAATTGTGTAAGGAGTAATTGATTATATAATGTAAGTGCACTCCAGGGATGCGTGATGTCACTCTGGTTATTCAGTACATAATTAAAGGTGGTCATGGTGGAGGTCAAGTTAAACAAGTTACAGTGAGATGTAAGCCTAGTAAATATGCGTAATATGAATAGCGGTGATCACGGGAGATATCTCCCGTCACGCAGGGTGCAGTCGCACCTCCACAGATCTCCAGTATCAGCTCTTGATACTGGTAATGGCTCAAAAGGGCCACCACTTACGGGCTATTCATGCCCGTGCCACCTTTTGGATGGTTTAATCGTCATCTTGGACACATTCATGGGAGACATCTCCCGTCACGCAGAGTGCACTTGCACCTCCACAGATCTCCAGTATCAGCTCTTGATACTGGTGATGGCTCGAAAGGGCCACCACTTACGAGCTATTCATGCCCGTGCCACCTTTTGGGTGGCTTCATCTTCATCTGTTTAAAACACGGGAGACATCTCCCGTCACGCAGGGTGCAGTCGCACCTCCACAGATCTCCAGTATCATCTATTGATACTGGTGATGGCTCAAAAGGGCCACCATTTACCAATTCATGCCCGTGCCACCTATTGGGTGGCTTCATCTTCATCTTAACACAAGGGAGGGATGTCAAGGGAGACATCTCCCATCATGCAGGGTGCATTCGCACCTCCACAGATCTCCAGTATCAGCTCTTGATACTGGTAATGGCTTAAAATGGCCACCACTTACGGGCTATTCATGCCCGTGCCACCTTTTGGGTGGCTTAATCTTCATCATCATCATCATCAATAGCGGTGATGTGTCGAATATATAATATTATAAGGTAAGCAGCCAGTGTACACGAAACAGAAGCGACACTGGTCCGGTGATGTCAAGTGTTGGTTAAGCAAAAGCCTGTTATGCTTATCAAGGTCCCCCCCCCCTACCGGTCTTCCCTAGGCTGCAACCCAAAACAGTTGTTTAACTCCCGGGTATTAACTATTTATTGCAAGGTGGACAGAGTTATCAGGTGAAAGAAAATGTTGCCAAGACAATTTTGCCCTGCAATGGGAATAGAACCTGAGACTCTCAAATGGGTGTTCAACTTTACAGAGACGCTACCCATTCAGAAGGGTTGGAACACACTTAAAAACACCGACTACAAGTCATTAAACATACAAAGTCAAAAATTACCACTGAAACCTTGCAACAAGAACACCTAATAATGTTACAAACAACTATCTGACTACAATTATTATAGCAATAATGTAAACACTCAAATGTCAATGTCGTCGAATATATATCGACTGGATACCAAGTCATGTAGGAATACCAGAGAAAGACATTGCGGATGAAGCTACAACACTTGCTATTACGAGGAAGAATGTAGACATTTACATACCATAGAGTAACACCTTGCATTGGTATCGAGGATCAATGTCCCCACAGCCTTGGGCTTTGGTCTTGGTGAAGTCTTGGGCCTTTGATGATCATAGAATACTCTTTCAGCATACTTATTGCACCTCTACTTTTCAACGGGGCTATTTCGCACTTCCTACTATGCCTCCTGGTCTCATGTGGGGTTATTTCTGTGCAGATTTGGAACCAATCCCTCTGATATTTTCCATTTTTAATTTATAATGTATCTCTCCCGCCTGCGCTCTAGAGAATACAGATTTAAAATTTTATGTGGTAACAACATTTAGATGCCCTGAGTGGATTCTAGCAGTAAAGAAATAATTTTCTGTCACTTGAACAATCCTAATCAATTGTGTCCACAATATAGATCAATAAATAATTAATTGCCAAGACCTAACTCGAGGAACTAATCAGCTTAATGGTCATGAACATAAATAAATGTGCCCACTCTCAAGGTAATATACAAGAAAATACATGAATAAATCAATACGAGAATGTGTATTCCGTAGCCAAATAATATATTACTGGTATAGGCTACAATGCCGATGTCATACAATAATGACGCCAATAAATTAAAATTAATGTGGTAATCGTCCACACATTAAATAATAATAACCAGTAATCAAAGCACTATTCATAAGTCATTATTTTCCCTTCAGTCACTAACACTTGCCAGAAAATATCAAAGAATCAGTGATAATTAATCACGGAAAACTTTCCCATCAACCAAGCAAGGTATATAAATATAATTGTCACCATTTACATCTTAGGTGTTGGGCGTCGTTTGACTCGTCTTTCAACACTGACTCACATTACCCTACGTGCGTACTGCCATGTAACCTTACGACACCAGGAAATCAATTAAACATAAACACCTAGAATTACTGGGTAAAAAATGGTGGAACTTCTATGGTAAAATTACGTAATCTGGTGTTACTTGGCAACTCTGTCCCACGAAAAAATCATTAACTGATATTGTTATCTTGTCAGTTTGACAAAAGATGCCGCATTTTTTTGTTTATAAAAGAAATACAATGTACAAAACAGGCAGCTGCAGAAGAACCAAAACATGAATACACACAGGATAAACATAAAGTAATAAGACATGATAACAAAACTAACATACACAAAAAGAACCAATAAGGTAAATACAGGACACAAAGCACAGAACAGAAAACCCCTAAACGGGCACTGGATACATCACACAAACCAGAACGGTACAAAGAAACCGTACAAGAAATTAACATAAAACACAATATATAAAAGTAAAACACAATGTACAAAAAACGACACAGGCAACATCAGAAGAAACAATACAGGAATACATACATGATAAACAGAACAAAGAAACAAGACATGAAAACAACCCAAACATTCACAGTAACCAAAAATGAGATACACAATAGTGAAACATACAAGACACAAAGCACAAAAAAAAAACTCCTAAACATGCATAGAATACATAACAAAAACGGTAGAAATACCCAACAAAAAAATAAAAACACAGAAAACGGTGACATACATAAGCGGCCACACACCGCCCGTACACACGGAGCACGGGCGACGCCAAAGCAAAAAGCCAGGCAAAAACATACCAGAACAGGCCCACACAGGAGACAGGTACAAACACCCACACTACAAACACGCTCACACAAGGACACCCTCCTGTGCACGCAGGCACCGGGAAACAAACCCACACACACACATACAAGAGCAAACACCATGCAGGATAATAAACAAACAAGCAACACCACACACAACACAAACACAAAACAACCACACAAATCACTCATACTTATCCGGGTACTCCTGAGCCGAAAAGCATAAGCAGTAAGCTTCCCAAACAATCAGGTCGTCTTTAGTAATCGGACGACCCGGAGCCGCACGAGGCTGAGGTCTCCGGCACTCCAATGATAAAACCCTGCGGCCGCGGAACCCAAATGGAAGAAGAGGACCACGGAACAGGACGCACCAGGTCATCATACTCAATGTTCAAAGGGGAATGATCATTGTACGCCTCTCCGGTCGAGAAGATGAGAGCAAAGGGTTTCTTCCTATGGGGTCGTGCACTTGGAAGCACACCGGGCGGCACACAGGGCCGCACACTGGCCGGTTAGAGGTGGCCGGATACTTCGTGTGGATACTGTGCGACTTGATTTCTCTGCTCCTGTGGATTGGCATCTTGTGGAAGTTGCGCTCCTGGACATGTTGACTGTGCAAGTTGCCGATCTTCTGGGACTGGAGAAGATCTCGCCTACCCGTGTGGCTGTGGCAGTGACGTTTGCCACATAAATTGTTTACCTCAGGTTTGTGAACTGCTGGGCTGAGGGGACGGTTCCCATTCCTGATACCGCTGTGTCGGTGACGATTTCGGATCCGTGGGGCCCCATGACGTGTCCACGGTGTGCCAGTGAACTTCCGAGGCGGAGCTCTGTTCGGTGTTTGCAAGGTTTGGTGCAGTGCTGCGGCATTGGTACACCACTTTTGAGTGCAGGGCCTCTGCAGGGGCTCCGTCTGGGTGCTCGTACGCTTATCATTCAGATCACTGGTTCTATTCCTTCCCGGGTTTCGTTTTGTGGGCTCTCTCTGCGGGTCTTCTATCAGGGTCAGATGCGCACTTGTTTCCGGTGTGGTGGGGAAGGCCATGTCGCGGCTGGATGCAGTGTTCCTCGTACTGAGGCCTCTTCTGTATTTCAAGAGGATGATTTTCCACGCTTGCATGTGGGTGGGGATTCCTCAGTAGGTCTTCGCTCTGGGATGTGCCTGCTTCTCCGTCTGGTCCTGGTGTAGAAAAGGATTGCCCCTCCCCCCTTCCCCGTCGGCGGCTCAGGGACTGTCGCCTTGTGGTGAGGTGGGTGGGAGGTTTCCCCGCCGCCTGCTGACCCGGTGATGGGCCCGGGTTCCTCAGCTGGTGAGCCAGTGTGTGAGTGATTATGCACGTGATGAGGTCTGTGCGGCTCCAACCCCACAGTCGTCCTCTTTGCTTCCGAGGGATTCTTCGCCTGTGTGCGCCTCATCTCCTCTGCCTTTTCCGACGTCATCGCGGGCTCCCTCACCTGTGCGGGGTCCCTTCTTTTCTGCCAGCTGCGTCTGTTGGTTCTCTGATTCCAGTATCCTTGGTGGGAGGCGGCTTAGTCCCCCACGTCATTGAGGCTGACATTCTGCGTGGTTGTGCTCCCCCGGTTTTGGGGCAGCCTGCCGTCGGGTCTTCTCGGGCGCGACCTGCAGGGGGTGACAGCGACGATGATCAGGAACAGAAACGCCTGTCCCTAAGCGTTCTCGTCAGGATAGGGATGCGTCACCTCCCCGTGCGTGGGCTGATGAGTGCGACGTAGTTGATGATGTTGTGGATGGCTGGGTGCTGCCTCCTGTGTCTGCCCCTGCGCCTACTGCTGGTGGCTCCCCTCCATGGGCAGTTGCCCTTGGTAATCGCGATCTCGTCGTGTTGATGAAGGATGTGCACCGGGGAGCCTCTTCTCCTGTTCCTGTTGGCGGGGGTCCTGGCGCTGCTGAGGGCTCTGTGCGGCGCCCGACGTGGGTCCTAGTGCATGCACTGGTGTGTGGCCCTGTGCGCCGCCCAGTGTGCTTCCAAGTGCATGACCCCATAGGAAGAAATCCTTCCCTCTCATCTTCTCGACCGGGAAGGTGTACGATGGTCATTCCCATTTGAACTTTGAGTTTGATGACCTGGTGTGTCCTGTTCCGTGGTCCTCTTCTTCCATTTGGGTTCCGTGGGCGCAGGGTTTTATCATTGGAGTGCCGGAAATAATTCCTCTGCCTTGTGCAGCTCTGGGTCGTCCGATTACTGAAGACGACCCGATTGTTTGGGAGGCTTACTACTTACGGTTTCCGGCACGGTAGTACCCGGATAAGTATGAGTGATTCGTGTGGTTGTTTTGTGTTTGAGTTGTGTGTGGTGTTGCTTCTTTGTTTATTGTCCTGCTTGGTGTTTGCTCTTGTATGTGTGTGTGGGTTTGTTTCCCGGTGCCTGCGTGCACAGGAGGGTGTCCTTGTGAGTGCGTGTGTGTGGTGTGGGTGTTTGTACATGGGTCCTGCGTGGGCCTGTTCTGGTATGTTTTTGTCTGGCTTTTTGCCTTGGCGTCGCCCGTGCACCTTGTGTACGGGCGGTGTGTGGCCGCTTATGTATGTCACTGTTTTCTGTTATTCTTTTTTTCTCGTGTTGCATATTTATACTGTTTTTGTTATGTATTCTATGTTTAGGAGTTTTTTTTGTTTTGTGCTTTGTGTCTTGTGTGTTTCACTTTTGTGTATTTCATTTTTGGTTACTGTGTATGTTTGGGTTGTTTTCATGTCTTGTTTCTTTGTTCTGTTTATCATGTATGTATTCCTGTATTGTTTCTTCTGATGTTGCCTGTCTCGTTCTTTGTACATTGTGTTTTACTTTTATATATTGTGTTTTATGTTATTTATTTCTTGTACGGTTTCTTTGTACCGTTCTGGTTTGTGTGATGTATCCAGTGCCCGTTTAGGGGTTTTCTGTTCTGTGCTTTGTGTCCTGTATTTACCTTATTGGTTCTTTTTGTGTATGTTAGTTTTGTTATGTCTTATTACTTGGTTACGTTTGTCCTGTGTGTATTCATGTTCTGGTTTTCTTGCAGCTGCCTGTTTTGTGCTTTGTACCTTGTGTTTTTTATAAATAAAAAAAAATTAGATTTGACAATGCTGAATAAGTTGTTAAACACATTAGACATGACCTAACTGAAACCATCATACGAGTCATATACACTCATACAGAGCTTAAGTAGGACTGAAATGAGTAACAATGAGCCAGAGGGATCAGGACTTAAGGAATATCCTTGCCCAAAAAATGAAGCCGGGACCTTTCTCGAAACTCTTTTTATTAAATCTTGAAATACATACCCGTTTCTTTTGTCTCTTATCTTCTACTTTTCCCTGATCTTCCTCCCCCTACTTCTTGATATCTTACTTTCAGTTTAATTTGACTGCCTATAATGTATTAAATTATTATCCAATGAAAATTGGCTCTAGGCAAAACCTTAGTGGAACTATAGTTGAAAGTTAACCTATTCAAGCTGGTATTAGGGAATATGTCAAAAGGTTAGGTTAGTGAAGCTCCCATTTTCTGCTGTTGCCAAGTTTCAAAAGAAAATGCAGTTTTTGAACATACGAAAGTGCATTTTGTTTCAATTTAATGTGAAACTTTTCCAAAACAGATTACTGAACAAATTACTTAGATAAAAGCCATAGTGTAAACCCTAAGTCCTATCAATGTAATAAATAATACACACACTGACACCATGTATTTCCCCAGCATCATGATGACGGCTTGCTCCTCCATCATGGCCTTCGGTGGGATGCCCTTCAACCTCTGGCTATATTCGCAGCCGTGGCTGGATGATGGCAACGAGAAAATCCATGTCCCCTTCGGTAGCATCATGATCTCCCTGGCCTTCATCATGGGCCCCGTCATCGTCGGCATGATCATCAGGCACTACCATGTGAAGGCAGCCACCATTATTTCCAAGGTCGGCTTCGGGTTACTTCAATTCATCTTTATTTGAATTAAAATCCGTATTTTCCTAGGTCCGTCTGTCCGTGTTGTCTTGTGGAGACCTCCAGGACGTCTGTCCGTGTTGTCTTGTGGAGACCTCCAGGACGTCTGTCCGTGTTGTCTTGTGGAGACCTCCAGGACGTCTGTCCGTGTTGTCTTGTGGAGACCTCCAGGACGTCTAATCTCAGCAGAGGATGTCAAGCCTCGCCATGGGAGTCTCTTACTGTGCAAGTCCAGGACATGCAGCTTCTGTTAAGTTCCTTCGTGGTAAATTGGCTGCATGTGGCAAATGCTGAGCGAGTACCACTTCTTCTGGTATGAAGATCAGTGGCACTTCCGGAAAAAATCACCTTTTTACTGCCCTTAAAGTACCTCGGTTGTCGAGGTGGACGATATAATCAATCCAAGAGTTTTGAGCACTCACCATTGCATTGACACTACATAGCTTGGCTTTAAGGCAGGTAAACTAGTAAAGCATAAATCGTTGTGGTGGTGTTTGCTCTAGTGGTGCTATAAGCTCTCGATTGAAGTCATTCCACCCGTGGAGAACAACTCAGATGCTTCAACGTACATATTAATGCATCCTCCTCCTCCTTGTAGAGAAGATCCTCGTCTTCTCCACTGTTCACAAGTACTGGTCGACCGTTCAGGCGATGGGCTGAAGGCAATTATTTGGTTCTGTATAATAAAGGGACGATTATCAACTCGCACCTCCATATTAACTGTCAGGAGTTCTTCCAGATTCAATTTATTACAGTAGAACACGAAACCGAGGCATCATTTCACGATGCCCACAATGATCTCTTAAAATCACCGTGCTATGGCACGCTGTGTGGAATGACTATACAGACATAAAATCTCTTGCGTAAACAGATATCTTTTACCACAAAGTTCAAGCCGTTGACCGAGATGATCAGACACAGAAATGAACTTGGGGCTGTTGGAAGGAACACTGTTGGAAGGTTCATGCGAGTGTGTGATCATGGTGGGTGACAGCTCAAGATGCACTTTTAATGGGTCTCTGTCAGCTATACCAATTAACGTAATTGTTCCAAAGTAATCTGTCTCTATCATTTGGAAAGGTGTGTAGTGGATCACACATGCCTTGTCCTGAGATCAATGTTGTTTTCTGTATAAATAAACGATTTAGAAAATAAAATTAAACAGCATCTTTACAAACGATACAAAAAGAGCTAAAAATATATTCAGACGACAAAAAAAACTTTGCAAGACGATAATGATAGGTTTTTAAAATGGATGACATTGGTGCATGTAGTTTAATGCTGAAAAACGTAGGGTTCTGATAATAGACTTCATCAGATATCAGTTGGACAATACTGAAAGGGGCAAAGTAGGAATGTGAGAAAGATCTAGAAGTCATGAGTAGTAGGGATCTTAAACAAAAAACCTATGCATAAATGTATGAAATAAAGCAAATAGACTACTAGGATTTATTTAAAGAAGCGCTAACAATAAGACAATATTATAATTCAGCTTGACCATGTTAGGCCTCTGTTAGATTATACGGTTCAATTCCTGTTTCCGTACTGTTTAATGGACATAAATTCACTTTTATATGTACACAGGAGGATGACAAAGATGATCCCACGACTTAGACACCTTCCTTATTAAGACAAATTAAAAAAAAAAAACGAATTTTTGATTCTCCAGAAAGACGAAGACTAAGGAGTGACATGACTGAATTACATATATGAATAAAGGTATATATGAGAGAGGATATAAATAAGGTGGTGTCCAGCAGGTGGCGAGCATGGTGGGGTGGTTGGGTGGGGCAGTGGCCATCTTCACCTCCTTCCTCCTCCACTGGGAGGTGGTCGTCATGGCCACCACCTTAATCTACGCCGCCGCCTTCATCCTCCCCATTACTGGCTTCGCACTCGCCTATACACTTGCCAAGTTCACCTGTCGGGTAAGTCCCCAACCTTTTTATTGTGTATTTACTATTTGTATCTGCAGAATCGAGCTGTTAGCTCTTGGACCCCGCCTTTTTAACCAATTTAGGTCACAAAAGTATGTCTACTACATATATTTCTTACACACACACACACACAGGGATGGCAAGTTATGTCTAACAGGATTAATTGAATTCTACGATCAGGCAACAAAAATCAGGCACGAAAGGGGATAGCAGACTGCATATTTTTGGATTGCCAGAAAGCCTTTGATACAGTACCACACAAGAGGCTAGTGAAAAAGCTGGAGATGCAGTCAGGAGTGAAAGGGAAGGTACTCCATTGGATAAGGGAGTTTAATTTAACCTGCATAAGGAATCATTCAGAACCTTGTATACCACATATGTAAGACCAATCCTGGAGTATGCGGCTCCAGCATGGAGTCCGTACCTAGTCAAGCAAAGAAGAAGCTGGAAAAAGTTCAGAGGTATGCCACTAGGCTAGTCCCAGATCTAAGAGGCATGAGTTACGATGAAAGGCTGCGTGAAATGCACCTCACGACATTGAAAGACAAGAGTAAGCGGAGACATGATCACTACCTACATTATTCTCAGAGGAATTGACAGGGTAGATAAGGATAAACTGTTTAACACGGGTGGAACGCGAACAAGAATAGTAGCGATGTCAGTCCAGCTGAAACAGAGATTTTTCCAGCTCATTTACTGCTGGACTGTCGGGGTTCCTGATAAATTGTTCCAGTTACTGTTGGACTGTCGGGTTTCCTGAGAAATTTTTCCAGTTTCCGATTTGGAGTTAAAGGTTTCTTATGGCAGAAATTGAAAATAATTTCAAAGTTCATAGAAGTTTCGTATACAAAAATTCAGGGGCAAAGTCCGCTCCCGTCTTACTGAAATTAAACTCTACGGTCAATTTTTGTTTTTTGGGAAAATCACTTATTTGGAGTTAAAAAGAATTCTTATGGGGGAAATTCAGACCAAAAAAATCACTCATTCGTTCTTAAAGGATTCTTATGCAAGAAATTCAAAAATTCAGTTTTTAGAGAAATATTTCAGAGTTCATATAATCATAGGAGTTTATTTACGAGTTTAAGACCGAAAATATTTCAAAAGACCATTTTCAGAGCATATGTTCTTAGAAGTTTTGTTAAGGAAAATAGACATCTTAGCAGTAAGTTTTAGTTTTTATACCCATTTACGGTTATTTCACCTGTAAAAAGACCGAAATAATTTTAGAGACCATTTGTAGACCGAAATATTGTCAGGCCATTTAAGACCAAAAATATGACAGAGTCCAGTTGCAGACCGAAATAAGACAGTTCAGTTTTAAGACCGAAAATTAGTCAGAGACCAATTAAAGACCAAAATATGAGAGTCCAGTTGTAGACCAAAATTTATCAGAGACCGCATTTATAAGTATAGTTCAGCTGCTAATAGCCCAATTTTAAACAGTCATATTTCAGACATAGTACAATAAATCCAAACAATTACCGAGTTTCAGCTCTTGTCCCCCGCCTTAACCCCCTCTCGTATCTTCGTTAATATCCGATCAATTTCCCTGAAATTTAAAACCGCTATATTTCGTGCCTAATAAAATAGATCAAAGCAATTTGCCAAACGCTAGCTCCGGTCCCCCACCTTAGTTCCCTCTCATATCTTCGATAATACATAAACAATTTTCTTGCAAATTAAAACCGCTGTATTTCAGACATAGTAAAAAAAATAATTGTTAAATTCTAGCTCCTGTCCCCCACTTTAACCCCCTCTCATATCTTCGTTAATATCTGAAAAATTTTCCCGAATTTTAAAGCAGACATATTTCTGAGCAAGTAAAGAAAATAGTTACTGAATTCTAGTTCTTGTCCCGCCTTAGTTCATTTGTAAAACTTCTTTATTATCAGCCCAATTCCCCCGAGGTTTAAAACCCCAGCACATTTCAGACTCGTGTAAAATAAATAAAAAGCAAATTACCGAGCAACAATTCCCGTCCTCCGCCTTAGTTCATCAAACTTAATTATTTCAGATCAAGACGTTCTCCAGTCTGTCACCTTTATCAAAGTAAACATATCCTCTCCTTCAAGATGCTTGTTCACACGGTGATAAAAATCACACGGTCATATCGCACCTTACCTTCAATACCCTTTGTTTACTCGGCAATGTAAATAGTCATTCTCACGGTGATAATAATCAGTGTCAAATCACACCTTACCTTTTCCCTCCCTTATCTCCCCCCCCCAACCCTTTACCTTTCCCCTTACCTTCCCATCTCTTACCTCCCCCAATTCCCTTTCGCCCTTCATCACGTCCTCCCCCCTACTCCCCCTCCATGTTGTCAATTCTCCAACTTATCCAAACCTTCAATAATCTTACTGCATTTGTATATTCTTTCCATATTCACTGTGTTCTTCGCATTCTCTTCCATGTTTTTTTGTGTTCACTCCATGTTCTGCAAATGTTCATCACATGTTCTCTGTACAACTTTTATACTATTCATGTTCTCTGCACATTCAAATCATATGTTCACCTGTTTCTCCATGTTTTCCATATTCTCATAATGTTCTTAGCATGTTCAGTTCATATTTTCCACCTCTCTTCCATGTTCACTGTGTTCTTTACCATGTTCTCATGTTCATCTCATGGTCTCTGTACAAGTTTTTATACTCATTATTCATGTTCTCTACAAGTTCATATTCCTCATAAGTTCACTGTGTTCTTCGCATTCTCTTCCATGTTTTCTTTGTCATATTCACCATGTTCTTCACGTTGTCATATTCACCATGTTCTTAGCATATTTTTTACAAGTTCATTGTTCATTCTTCATATTCTCTGTTCTTTGTCATGTTTTCATGTTCTCTGCAAGTTCATATTCCCCGCATGTTCACTGTGTTCATCAGCTTTTCTTACATGTTTTCTGCATTCTTTGTCATGTTCTCAATATGTTCTTCACAAATTCATCACCTTCTCTTACATGTTCTGTGTTCTTTGTCGTGTTCCTCGTATGTTCACTGTACTCATCCCCTTACATATTCTTCATTTTTCAAGTTCTTTGTTTGTTTTAAACCAATTGTTTCTTCCGTTCAATAACTAGTTCTTTTGGCAAATATTATTAACAGGATTACACTTCTCCGAACAAATTTAGTCAGTCAGCCAGTTTTATTTGCAAAACTACATCAATGTAATTTTCTTTATCAACTTAATATTTCTTACCGACACTATTCTTAAAAAAAAGCTTTATTCAGTACAAATGTACCAAGGCATTGTTTTTCTCGTTTCTTAACTAAAATAACACTTCTCAAAACTAAAAATAGTCAAGCTTAACTTCTTTCAACACTTGTAACTAACTTTATTCGTCGTCATTCAACTAAAATTAGCCACGTTCATCATTTCTTAAATAAAAAACACTTCGCTTAACTGAAAATAGTCAAGATTAACTTCTTTCAACACTTTCTTAACAGCCTTTATGTTTCGTCAAGAAAAAATAGTTCAAGATATCTTTCATCGCTGTTCTTAACTAAAAAAAAATTTCCCCTTAACTGAAAATAGTCAAATGTAACTCCGTTCAACACTTTTATAACTAACAGTATACTTCGTGGTATAAGAAAAATAGTCAAAGACTCTTCGCGATATCAAGGGCACATTCAGAGACACCAAAGTTACTCTTCAAGACATCAAAGACACGCTCAAAGACGTCAAAATACTACTCATATCCTCAAAAGTTATTATCAGAGTCATCAAAAGTTAATCTCAGTCATCAAAGTTATTCTCTTAGTCACCTTCGCTCATCAGAGAAGCTTTCTAAGACATTTTCGTTCATCAAAGTTATTCTCCATGACATCAGAACTTATTCTCTAAGCCATCAAAGTTATTCTCTAAAACATCAAAAGTTAATGTCATCGAAGTTATTCTCTAACTCACCTTCGTTCATCAAAGTTGTTCTCTAAGACATCCATATTGTTCTCTAGGACATCTTCAGGCATTAAATAACACTCCCAAATGTAACTAGTTCAACTTTTCATATCAAATTTATATTTGTTAAAATATATTTTCTTAGTCACTTTATCATAAAACTGTTCTCTGAACAACAATGCATCATCCTATCTAGCCTAACCTATTCCTCCCCTACCTGATGTAATGTAGCTAATCAAACTTACATAACCTAACCTATCCTAACTTAACGTAACTTGCTAACCTAATTTAACTAACCTAACCTAACTTAAAATAACCTAACCTAACTTATCTTACATAACCTAACCTAACTAAACTTAACTTACCTAACCTATCCTTCCTAACTTAACCTAACTGACCTAACTGACCTAACTTGCCCTAACTTACCTAACCTAACGTTCACTGACTCTGAAAAACTTCTATGACAATATTTTCTGAAAATGGTCTTTTGAAATATTTTCGGTCTTAAACTCTTAAATAAACTTCTATGAACTCTGAAAATATTTTGGCCTTAAACGACTGTGACAGAGCGGTAAGTATATCTCTGAAAAATTTACCTGGGAAAACCCAATATCACAAATGGGACTGGAAAAAATTATTAGGAAACCCCACAACATAAACGGGACTGATGCTTCGCTTGATATGTGTTGGTGTAAAGGAACTAACATTACGATGTCTGAAATGTAGATTGACAAAGAGCAGTAAGAAAATATGAAAGAACGATGAGGTAGGGGGGTGTGTGTGAGGTGAGGTCGGAACAGGTGGAGCGGAGGGGGAGGGGGTATGGGGGACGGGTAATGGTATCTTTTATACTTATATAGAAATATACTCGTTTGTAAGTAAGAATTTACTTAAAAGCCTACAGTCTAAAACATCTGCTTATGACCGTAGGGTTTATTATAAAAAAGACGGGAGCAAACTTTGCCCCTGAATTTTTCTGTAAGATTTCTTAAACTAATATGAACTCTGAAATTATTTTTGATCTGAATTTTCCCCATAAGAATCCTTTAACTCCAAATCGGAAACTGGAAAAATTATCAGGAAACCTGATAGCCCAGCAGTAACTGGAAAAAGTTATCAGGAAACCTGACAGCTCAGCAGTAACTGGAAAAAGTTATCAGGAAACCTGACAGCTCAGCAGTAACTGGAAAAAGTTATCAGGAAACCCGAAAGTCCAGCAGTGACTGGCAAGATTTACCCGGAACACCTGGCAGCATGGCTGAAACTGGGCTAGAAAAATCTCATTTACTGCTGGCGTGTCATCCCTACTACTAACAAGGGGTCACAGGTGGAAACTGAGTACCCAAATGAGCCACAGGGACGTTAGAAAAAAATTCAGTGTCAGTAGATAACAGATGGAATGCATTAGGCAGTGATATAGTGGAGGCAGACTCCATACATAGTTTAAAATGTAGATATGATAGAGCCCAGTAGGCTCAGGAATCTGTACACCATGTAACGTATCGGGAGAAATGAATAAAAAAGAAAAAAATCAAGAATGAAATAATGAGCGAGGGTTTGGGGTGAGGGTGGTAGAGAGGAGAGAGGAGTGAGGAGTAAGGAGTATTGGGAGTAGCGAGGAGTGTGGTCCGTTGAAAGGGAATGTTTGAAGAGGCGGAGGGAGAGGAAAGATAGAAGTAGAGGGTAGAAAATAGACATTGGAAGTAGCTGAAAGTAGAAGTAGAAAAGGGCTGCCACCATCCACTCTAGTTTAGTACACCCAAGACAAGGAATGGAACTTGTCAGTACTCTAGGGTGTTATCAAATGTATCTGCTGTAAGCATTTTCTCATACTCTTCAAGCTAGTGATCTCAGAGTGCTCTACACTCTAGCTTGCAATATATCATTAAATCCAAGATCCAGGGAACACAATTAAAGACAAATTAAAAAAGTAAGTTAATCAATTATATTATATATCTATATATATATATATATATATATATATATATATATATATATATATATATATATATATATATTTAGTATTAACAGTATCAATTCAAAGAGTTAAACTTACTGTTCACTTTGTCAAGATTAATATACAATGTGAGTCACCACACAAGACATTGGAATCAGTACGGCTGCTGCCCCTGATAATCACACAACACCTTAAGTTCGTAAAACACGAAATAAGTCACCTTAACGTTCAAACTCACTAAGGACTGAGACTAGGTTAGACAGAGAAGGGAGGGGGGGGGGCTACAGATGACAGGAAGAGTCCCCCTCCTGGGTCTCGGGGGGCCAGTCTGGCGGCTGAAGCCTCTGACCAGCGATCTAATGCTCGCTGCTGCTCAATCGTGTGTGTCTGATCTGTCTGTTCTGTCGAATGTACAGTTGCCTGAGTATTTATAGGAGGACCTGGTAGCTAAACTCTGCCCACAAGTAAGATAGCCTAATGCTTTCTACCGACCACACCTTAAACAGTGACTTATTTGATGGGCCCAACCCAGCCAGCCGTTTGCAATTATCAGCTTAGCAGAAGCAAGGGCAATTCACACGACCTGACTCCTGGTCAACTTGTGGTCATTAACACTCTAGAGGTGTGACTTTTTAATTACTCCAGGCCAACAATCTGGCGCCTAAAATTCTGTCTTGTCTGACTGACTCATGTACTATGTAAAATATTAAATAAAACAACTAAACACCTTTATGGTGTTACAACCAGTTGATTGACAGTTGAGAGGCAGGTCCAAAGAGCCAGAGCTCAACCCCCGCAAACACAACTAGGTGAGTACACATACATCCCCAAGAAACAACCCGTAGCAGCTGTAACTCCCAGATACCAATTTACTGCTAGGTGAACAAATGCATCAGGGTGAAAGAAACTATGCGCGTGCGTGCGTGTGTGTGTGTGTGTGGGGGGGGGGGGGAAGCCTATATACAGATATTTAGATACAATTTATGACATGCCTGTTCACCGTTACAGAGTAATAAAGTGGCCCGCACCATCGCTATAGAGACTGGTAGTCAAAACATACCAGTTGCCCTCAGCGTCATCGCCCTCTCCTTTCCCCAGCCCCTGGTGAGTACCCATCGTCATCTCTCTTCCCCTGGTGAGTACCCATCGTCATCTCTTCCCCTGGTGAGTACCCATGGTCATCTCTCTTCCCCTGGTGAGTACCCATCGTCATCTCTTCCCCTGGTGAGTACCCATCGTCATCTCTTCCCCTGGTGAGTACCCATCGTCATCTCTCTTCCCCTGGTGAGTACCCATCGCCATCTCTCTTCCCCTGGTGAGTATTTATCTTTCTCTCTTTTCTCTCCTACCACGGTGAGTTCCCATTATGTTTCTCTTCCCCTGGTGAGTACCCATCGCCATCTCTTCCCCTGGTGAGTATTTATCACTCTCTCCTACCACTGTGAGTTCCCATTATGTTTCTCTACCCCTGGTGAGTACCCATCGCCATCTCTTCCCCTGGTGAGTATTTATCACTCTCTCCTACCACTGTGAGTTCCCATTATGTTTCTCTACCCCTGGTGAGTACCCATCGCCATCTCTACCCCTGGTGAGTACCCATCATCTCTCAATACCCTGGTGAGTATTGTTACGAGGCTGCCGTTCATCATAAAACTCTTCCCATTCCCAATTAAGACGAGTCATTCCCATTCATATCCAGCACTTAGTACTGCCCTAGATTGTTTATGTTGAAATAGGACGTGCACATTAACCATCATCAATGAACATCAACCATCACAAATGAGCATCAACCATCACAAATGAGCATCAACCATCACAAATGAGCATCAACCATCACAAATGAACATCAACCATCACAAATGAACATCAACCATCACAAATGAGCATCAACCATCACAAATGAGCATCAACCATCACAAATGAACATCAACCATCACAACTGAACATCAACCATCATCAATGAACATCAATCATCACTAAACATAACTATCTTCCCAAAAAACAAACCATTATTATCAACATCAGCCATCATCACTTAATACCGTGTGTGAACACCACACACAGAACATCACATTACCAACACCACTGAACATCAATTTTCACTGAACATCAACCCTCATCATCAGTGAACATAAATCATCATCACTGCACATTAACCATCAACCATTCTCACTGAATGTTAGCAATCATCACTGAATATCAACAACTATCATTAGAATACTCGAGGAATAGGCTGGATAGCTAGCATTTCCTAGACTCAAAAGGCATCTGATAGTAACTACACTACACCTCTTGTTCATCTGATAGTGTTCCTCTTGAAGTGCAGGTATACAAGATGGAGAAACAAGCTGGGATTACTAAAATGGGTAAGGGGAATACCTGAAGGACAGAAGACAGACAGAGGTGAAGTTTCCACATGGAGGAATATAACAAGTGGTATTCCCGAAGGCTCGGTCCTGGGACCACTACCGTTCCTAATTTATGTTGATGATCTACCCTATTGAGTGAGCTCGTACATGTCAATGTTGGCAGACGATGCAAGATAATGAATTTAAAAAAAAAAAAAAACAGGAGGACTGCAGAATGTTACATTAAGATCTTAAACTCCAGGAGTGGACAAACAAATGCTTCCTGGAGTTCAATCATAATAACTAATATAATGAAATTGGAGAAATGAGAGAGAAGGCCAGAAGGTGTCTACACCATTAATAGAATACAACTGCAGAAATCTGAGAGAAATTTGGGAGTGGATATAATTGTGGACAATAATCCACAGCCTCATCTAAGTAATTATCGTACGGAGTTTCCCAGAGTGGACATCCCTTCATGGGCGGCTTAGGACGTCCCCCTGACGAGTCTCAACTTGCCATATATTAATGCTGGGACTGAAATCTTATAACCTTAGTTAGAATTAACCAAAATTATCTTGGTTAATGCTGCGGCATTTATTAAAATTAAAACATACTGGTGAATAATCACTCATTAAATAAAGTTTCCGGCCTCCCGCTGGAAGGGCTGATGGGAGCGAAGCAGCAGTATAAGCAAGGATCAGCAACAAGGCGCCACGACGCGCCTGCAGCTGCACCTCGCGTGTCTTTCTAAATTCAGGAACCGTTAACTTAGTTCTTTTCGGAATTACTAGTGAAGTTCCAGAGACAATACAAATTAAATAATGTGCAATAACGCGCTATAACTATTAACAGTACTGAAAACTGTACTAGCTGAGCTTGAGACCACGTCCACGAGATTTGGGGCCTCGTAGCCTGGTGGATAGCGCGCAGGACTCGTAATTCTGTGGTGCGGGTTCGATTCCCGCACAAGGCAGAAACAAATGGGCAAAGTTTCTTTCACCCTGAATGCCCCTGCTACCTAGCAGTAAATAGGTACCTGGGAGTTAGTCAGCTGTCACGGGCTGCTTCCTGGGGGTGGAGGCCTGGTCGAGGACCGGGCCGCGGGGACACTAAAAGCCCCGAAATCATCTCAAGATAACCTCAAGATAACGTGTATCACAGCAAACTCAACATAGTGATAATTTACCCATCAAGGACACAGGGTTGGCTAAGACACTGACCTGAGCACCGGGGCACCTATTCCAAGTATAATTTCTATTGTTATAATTGACGTCAATTTATGTACGTTATGTCATTTAACCGTTTCTCTTAGGCCCCGGTTAATTTGTGGGTTTTTTATCCCAAACTAGTAACTAAATGTTTCTAAACCATGATCTAGTGTCGTGAGATTACACTGAATTATATAATACTTTATAAAATTTACTCAAATGAATATTCATCAATATTATCTGTGATGAATATCAATAGATTTTATCATCATTAGGCTAGGCTAAATATAATACTGTTTAGTGGATTGGACGGCGTGCACCGAAACGTTCAAGTGTTTTTCGCTGTAATCTTTTAATTATTTAACTGCAAATGATAGTGTGGAATTCCTCGGCAGATATCCAAGAACAGCGACTTGGTTCTGCGAGGTCGGTCACTTCCCAACAACTAGACTGCATCACGGAGTCTACGCTAGCAAATCAGTTGTTTTTTAATTTCATTTGTTTACAGTAGATTTCTAGAGTAAACTATAACTGAATTATAATTATTGAATGATTGCAGTTTGTTGTTTTAATAATTGAGTATTCTGCAGTTGCTTTAAATTAATATAATTTAATTCAGAAGTTTTTCCCAGAGATATAGAAATATATATATATATATATATATATATATATATATATATATATATATATATATATATATATATATATATATATATATATATACACACACACACACACACACATACTGCCTCAAGAATTAACTTTGGGAATTAAGTTGGAGTAAATCCCACAATTCTCTCACTAACACTAGAGGCACACATATGCAGTGACATAGGCAGTATATGGGACGCTGGCGAACATTAGAACGTCGTTTGGAAACCTAAATCAGGAGAATTTCAAAGTAATATACACAGCTTCTTTTCACCAATACTGGAATATGCATTATTGGAATCCATAACTTGTCCATTCCATACGGCATGGAATCCATACCTTGTGAAACATAAAACTAAAATTGAAAAAGTGCAGATGTTTGCAACTATCTTGAGGTTATCTTGAGATGATTTCGGGGCTTTTCTAGTGTCCCCGCGGCCCGGTCCTCGACCAGGCCTCCACCCCTAGGAAGCAGCCCGTGACAGCTGACTAACACCCAGGTACCTAATTTACTGGTAGGTAACAGGGGCATAGGGTGAAAGAAACTCTGCCCATTGTTTCTCGCCGGCGCCTGGGATCGAACCCAGGACCACAGGATTACTGCCAGAACTCAGATGGTTATGTTATAAGGATAGGGTGAAGGAACTGGACCTCACAACCTCGGAGGGTAGAAGAAAGAAAATATAACAACGTTCACGATACTGAAGGGAATAAACAATGCGGACAAGAACAGCCTCTTCAAGTTGAGAGAAAATAGGACAAGAGAACAAAAGTGGAAGCTGGAAACGCAAATGAGTCGAAGAAATGTAAGGACATACCCGTACCTGTACGGGTGGTCAACAAATGAATTGCACTAACAGAAGAAATTGCGGGAGCCCCCTCCATTCCCAACTTTAAGGACAGGTTCGAGAAAGATTTTGAACGTTAGAACAGTGAAGCTTTAACGCAACAGGTACAGCTAGGCTAGTAGGCGGGGCATTAAAAGCTAGTTCCCCGTAGTCACTGATAAGTACTGTACATCAACCATCAAAAGGTAACATAAATCACCACTGTTCGTTAACCACCCCACCTCTAAAATCTACTTTCGACTCCGCCCCCCCCCCCAACAACCACCTCCCTCACCCCTAAACACCACAACCATCCTTACCAACAATACTAACCGGCATCATCTCTATCCTCATATTCCCACAGGTGAAAGGACAGATTCTCATCTTCCCTACATTGTACGGCATCATCCTCCTGTTAGAGTCGTTCTTAGGCATAACAGCCTACCAGGTGTACAAGAGGAGGTGCTCCAGCCCGAGCGACGACACCAGCACGGCAAACGTCGAGGAAGGCACCAAAGGAGTGAAGGAAACCTCTGAACACGTCTTGGATACACATGCATAATGAAATCATATTAACGTAATGTATCAATGAGAAAATCAGTAGTAGCCCCTGAAAAGGATTCGAACCCACTCATTTGGTACTCTCAAGCTAACGCCCTAGACCACTACACCACAACATTGCCACAAAGCAATGTAACCCGGGATACTAGTGAATCCTCTAGGGGTCCTGAGGATTCCAACTTGAGTCCAATCAGGAGTTTCACGCATTGCCCTCATACTCTCTGGCTTTATGGTTTAGTAGTTCTACACCCAACGCTTCTCGTCAAATGTACAATTAAATGACAAATATGAAATAACCGCTGAGATTGACACCACTGACATATAGGTTATAAAATAATCATTGGGATATAGGTTATAAAAAACCACTGATGTAGGTTATAAAATAACCACTGAGATATAGGTTATAAAATAACCACCGAGATATAGGTTATAAAATAACCACTGAGATATAGGTTATAAAATAACCACTGAGATATAGGTTATAAAATAACCACTGAGATATAGGTTATAAAATAACCACTGAGATATAGGTTATAAAATAACCACTGAGATATAGGTTATAAAATAACCACTGAGATATAGGTTATAAAATAACCACTGAGATATAGGTTATAAAATAACCACTGAGATCTGAGAAATCACCTCAGATATTTCTTTACTGACTGTGGGTTACCTGTTGAATAACCAGGTACTAAGTAAACCCTTTCTCCTTGGTCTTCTCTAACAAAGAACCCTCTCAACCTTATCTAGAAACCAAAGTGTACTATAGCTCTGCCTTTTCATTCAAAAGGTTTATAATTTTACAATTGTTTTCTTAGCCTACCATTTTATATTGAGCATTTTTTCATTTGTCAATTACAGCATTGTTATCTGCTAAAAATTATAGTAAGTAGATTTACAGCAGATTTAGTATTTTACTGTTCTGTAATCGGTTACTTTATTGTATCTTAACTCCGTTGTATCTATATGCAAGCTGATATTGACCCTGAACTAAATCTGCTGTCACAAATCTACAATAATCAGCATATTGATCATCACTACTGCAGGTACTCCAGAGCAAACCTTGCAAGCAAGCAACAAAATACTAGTCTATCAGTATTTAACCAAAATGTCAGATCACTTGGTAAACATTTTGATTATATAAATGCACAACTCGCAGCACTAGGTACTAAACTATCGTCATTATTTTAACAAAAACATGGCTAAGAAAAGACCATACCCAACTTTACAGCTTAGCAGGATATAGTCATTCACGACTGTAGGCTAAATAAAAACGCAGGTGGCACAGCTATCTATTACCAAAATATCTTCATTTGCACTAGTCATTAATGATAGAAACGACTACTGTGAATATACCTTTGCTGAATTCTCGATTAAATCCCTTAAATCCTTCCTGACTATTGGAGCCATCTATTGATTTCCTAATACTAATACAATTGCCTTCTCAGATAATCTAAGGAATCTAATCATAAACAACAAGCTCAATAAAAATCACATTCTAGGAGATGACTTCAATTTTGAGCTGTGTTAACAAAATAGCCCCCAAGTCGACTACTTCCTAAACAGTATGAACTCCTGCACGCTAATCCCCACAACCACCAAGCCCACCCGAATCATTAAAACATCCGCTACTCCATTGGACCACATATGGACTAACGTAACAGCTCCCCTTGCATCTGGTATAATCACTGACAGAACAACTGACTACTATCCTACCTTCCTCATAGCAAACATGGCCTTAGCACCACCCTGGAAACACAAACCGAAACTGTCTCTATTTTCCGCTTGTTACAACTTGTAATAAAGATGTTACGTCTTGGCGTAACGTGTTTATAACGTATTAGAATGTTGTTACAACTTGCTATACTGGTTGTTATAACTGGTTAGGAGGTGTTAAAACTTGTTCGAACGTTGTACCAACGTCGTAGTTTCGGTGTGTGTTTGGAGGGCATCGGATACCAAGAAACTTATCGTCAGGCTACAAAGCAAAATTCAATCTCACAAATGCATTTCACAATATAAACTGGGAATCTGAATTCAATAATACACAGGATTTAAATTCATTAGCCAATATCTTCCTTTCCAAAACTCTAAGCCTCTACAATAATCACTGTCCTATGCTCACCAAGCAAGTAACAACCAAACAAATTAAACAACCCCTGGCTCACAAGTGGTATACTCAAAGCAATCTACAAGAAAAAACGTAGAATTGGCCTAGTTACAAAAGTAGTAGTTAAGAGATACTCATCAATGCTTACCTGCTGAATAAGAGGGAACTTTCCTGTTATGACAGTATATTCAAAGAAGCAAAAGGAAACATGAAAAGCACATGGAAAACCATCTCTAGCATCCTAGGATCTAAACAATAATCACGTAACAAGCAGATAAAGCTCTAAGGATGGTTACACACAACACACTTAGAAACGGCAACTGAATTTAACAGTTTATTTTCATTAGTTGGCGGTAACCTTGCTAGAAAAATGCCACAGACCCAGACATGTTTTTTTTTTTTTTTTTTTTGAGATATATATAAGAGTTGTTACATTCTTGTACAGCCACTAGTACGCGTAGCGTTTCGGGCAAGTCCCTGGAATACGATCCCCTGCCGCGAAGAATCGTTTTTTCATCCAAGTACACATTTTACTGTTGCGTTAAACAGAGGCTACAGTTAAGGAATTGCGGCCAGTAAATCCTCCCCGGCCAGGATACGAACCCATGACATAGCGCTCGCGGAACGCCAGGCGAGTGTCTTACCACTACACCATGGAGACTGTAAGATGTTAGTACATCACACCCGGAGATCACACTAACGTGATGCATCAAATGAACAAATCCACATCATCTCTATCATCACAAGTTATAACCTGCATATGAAAAAACATTTACAAACAGCTCTACTCCTACCTTGTAAAATTCAACATATTAAGTCCCTGTCAGTTTGGCTTCCGCTCCCACAAAAGAGTACCAACGATGCCAATATTAGTCTGCTTGACTATCTACACAGCTCTACAAAAATTAGCTTCTAATTGGGCTCTTCGTTTACCTGAGAAAGACCTTCGATATGTAAACCATATCTATCTCTTAAACTATGGAATCCGAGGCCTTGCCCTGAAATATATTCGATCCTATCTTAGTGACAGACACCAATGTGTAGCCATCAATGATATAACCCCCACTCTACCATTAACCGTAGGAGTGCCACAGGGCAGCACCCTAGGATCTCTCCTATTTCGTATATACATCAATGATTTGCCAAATGTCTCTAACATTCTTAAACCTATACTATTTGCTGACGATACTACCTTTATCTACTCAGACCCCAACCCACACACACTAAATAATGTTGTAAATGACGAATTAGAAAGTCCACTCATGGATGTCAACCAACAAACTCACACTAAACATAGAAAAGACCTACTGCATTTTATTTGGAGGCAAATCAAATGAAATTCAACTTCAGATAGACAATTAACATCAGCAATAAAAAAGATGGAAAGTTCTTTGGCGTATACATAGAGAAGAGACTCAACTTCAGCACTCACATACAACACAGCCAAAAGTGTCGGTATACTCTCTAATATCAGATATTATGTTCCCCACTTTGCTCTCCTCTCATTATACTACTCGCTAATCTATCCTTATTTTACATACGGTGTCTGTGCATGGGATTCAACTACTGCAAATTACTTCAAGCCCGTTATTTCCCAGCAAAAAACTTATGAGAGTAATAACAAACTTTTCAGACAACACACAGCCCCTCTGATTAAAAGTTAAACATGCTAGACATACACTCACTCCACACACATTCTTGTATGTTATTTACATGTACAAAACCTTGTTTCTAAATGCAAATTCTGATCTCAAGCTCATCCTTGACAGATTTAACAGAACCCATAATCACCACACCAGAAATAAATATCTGATATCCACAGTCAAACTAAAAACTAAATCTGTGCAAATTCTATGCAAATAAAGGGAACCTAGTCTATGGATCTCACTTCTTAACGTAATTAAAAAGCTGACCACCATATGCCTTATTCAAAAGTAAAACCAAGAAGTACCTAATTTCATCCTCATAGTTTCCTACCTTGTGCTTCAAACTCACTGTATCTTGTGCCACCCACTCCCCCAATATTTGTGCCTAGGACATGCAACTTCACCAATGTAATCACTGCTATCAACTTATATCATAGTTATGTTCAACACAATTGTGCTACATTGTACCTATTAATAATCTTTAAATTTTACTCCGATGTAAATCTACGTCATCGATGTATTAGAAACATGTAAGTAAGCCTTGTTATCTGTTGGCCCGTTGTCTCAAAGACAGCAGGCGATGAGTCACAATAACGTGGATAAAGTATGATGACCAGACCACATACTAGAAGGTGAAGGGACGACAACGTTTCAGTCCGTCCTGGACCATTCTCAAGTCGATTGTGAAAACCGAAACGGACCGAAACGTCGTCGTCCCTTCACATTCTAGTGTGTGGTCTGGTCATCTCAAAGACTGTATAGACAAAAATTTCAGCTATGGCAACACTACTCGAGGCACAAATAGCTGAACCCTTAATCTGCCAGTAAGTTTTGCCATCAAAATTGAGAATTCTCTCTCGTTACATGCAGGATTGCTTCTTATCAATCCTGTTTGGAATGAAGTCGGTGGTCGCCATACCCCTAATTCTGTGTTTGTTCCTGTCGAAGAAATCCGCGACTCGTGTTGCTGCTTCCCTTTGTGGAATGCTGAGGTACAATGATACCACGTCGAGTGAGAAGAGAAATGCTCCTGGTGGAATTGGGTTCCTAAATGCTACTAATTTATTTATGACATCTGATTTGTCCCTTAGCGCCTCTGCGAGTAGTTGTAGAAGTGGGTTCAGTAATGCTGTGCAGATCCAGTCGACTGGCCTTTTTGGGGCCTGACAACCACTAAGGACTGGTCTGCCTTGCCAGCTGTTCGTACCCAGGAAGACATCCTTGTGAATCTTTGGTAAGATGTACATGGACGGGATCTTGGATATGAAGGCGAGGAATGTGTCCCTCGTTGCTGCTCTGAAAAGTCCTCCACTTCCTCCGGAGACTGGGTCCTTATTCCTAAAAAGTTTCAATGCCAGTTTCTTGCTTCTGGTCTGCGCATTCCTGAGGGCAGCTTGTGGGTCCACGATGGGCATGTAGGTAAGTGGGTCGTCTAGTTATCTCTGCATCTTCCGTTAGTTGTTATCAACTTTCCATACGACGACGGCTCCTCCTTATATGCAGGCTTAATCACACTATCCGTCCTGTTTTTCTGTTGCGCTAGTGCTCCCCGTTCTTCTCCCGTTAGGTTGCATCTCCTCCTGTTCGTTGCTCTGTTCCTTAGGCCCACTCTCATTGCGTCTATTTTGTTGCAAAATGCAACAAATTACATTTTTACATTACAATTACAAATTATATTTACATTACACCAAACCATAATGGATGGGTGTTCGCACGGACTCCTTTACTTTGAATAAATCCACAAGGACTGTGATAAGGGTTCGAACTTACGTCCAGGATGATCCCAGACGCGCCTTAATCGATTGCGCCACGAAATGGTATAAGAATTGCAACCGAGTTTGCCATTGCTCACACAGGGATCATGTAGTCTCTCTGCGACACACCGGAGTTTTACACAATTCCCCCCCCCCCCCCATGCTCTCGGGCTCTGTCAACAACTTGTTCTACCTCTTCCCTCTTACTTCAATATACACAGAAATCACAATAGAAATGTGACAAGATATCATAGAAATCACAATATTTGATATATCAAATTATTCATTTGATATAT